TTTCTATCAGTAGTTTCATCGATGTTTGTCTTGTTTTGTTTTACTTAGAAATGGATACAATTATTTTATTGCTGCCGACATCATTATTTGCTAATTCCGATGTTTAATTAGTAGTATCTTAGGGAGCTGTTCTTTAAACACTCCATGATTTGAGAAGAAATTGGGTGTGTGTTTTTTTTAATGTTTGTAGGATAATCGAAAATGGTGAAGATTTGTTGTATTGGTGCTGGTTATGTTGGTGGGCCGACGATGGCCGTTATTGCATTGAAATGCCCTGAAATTGAAGTGGCCGTTGTCGATATATCTGTCTCGAGAATTGCTGCCTGGAACAGTGATGTTCTTCCGATATACGAGCCCGGACTCGACGAGGTGGTTAAGAAGTGCGGGGGAAGAATCTGTTCTTTAGCACCGATGTCGAGAAGCATGTTTCGGAGGCTGATATCGTGTTTGTTTCGGTTAACACCCCGACGAAAACGCAAGGTCTCGGAGCTGGGAAAGCTGCTGATCTGACTTACTGGGAGAGTGCTGCTCGTATGATTGCCGATGTATCGAAATCTAACAAGATCGTGGTCGAGAAATCGACTGTTCCTGTTAAAACAGCAGAGGCGATTGAGAAAATTTTGAACCACAATAGCAAAGGCATTGATTTTCAGATTCTCTCGAACCCGGAATTCCTTGCCGAGGGAACTGCGATTCAGGACCTTTTCAATCCTGATCGGGTTCTTATAGGAGGCAGGGAGACATCTGAAGGTCAAAAGGCAATTGAAGCATTGAGGGATGTGTATGCGCATTGGGTCCCTGTGGAGCGGATCATATGCACCAACCTCTGGTCTGCCGAGTTATCAAAGCTTGCTGCCAATGCTTTCTTGGCACAAAGAATCTCTTCGGTTAATGCTATGTCCGCGTTGTGTGAGGCAACTGGTGCTGATGTGAGTCAAGTGTCGCATGCTGTTGGGAAAGACACGAGGATCGGACCCAAGTTCTTGAATGCGAGTGTTGGTTTCGGTGGATCGTGTTTCCAAAAGGATATTCTGAATTTGGTCTATATCTGTGAATGCAATGGCCTTCCCGAGGTTGCCAATTACTGGAAACAAGTCATTAAGATCAACGACTACCAGAAAACTCGGTTTGTAAACCGGATTGTTTCTTCAATGTTTAACACCGTTTCAGGGAAGAAGATTGCCATTCTCGGGTTCGCTTTCAAGAAGGATACCGGTGACACTCGTGAGACCCCAGCAATCGACGTGTGCAAAGGGCTGTTGGGTGACAAGGCTCTACTGAGCATCTACGACCCTCAAGTCAACGAGGAGCAGATTCAGAGGGATCTTGCAATGAAGAAGTTCGATTGGGACCATCCGGTTCACCTCCAGCCGGTGAGCCCTACTTCCATCAAGCAAGTCAACGTCGTTTGGGATGCCTATGCAGCGACAAAGGACGCTCACGGGGTTTGCGTTCTGACGGAATGGGACGAGTTTAAAACCCTCGATTACCAAAGGATTTACGACAACATGAGGAAGCCTGCATTCATCTTCGATGGTCGGAACGTCGTGGATGAAGCTAAGCTGAGGGAAATCGGGTTCATCGTCTACTCCATCGGCAAGCCATTGGATCAATGGCTTAAGGACATGCCGGCCGTGGCATAGACCATTCTCAAAAGAGGCGCATAAAACCGATTATACAAATTTCATTTGCACCACATTTTTATTTGTTATAGTTCTAAGATTCTGTTTGGAGTTCTATTGAGTTATTACATGACATGTGTCTTTAGTCCTTAGAATATGTCCGATTTTATTGTTGTTTTATTAAAATAAAACCTGTACTAGTCAACTATATGCCGCTTATCTTATGCATGAATCATGTTCATGGTTTCATCAAAAAAATAATCATGTTCATGGTGATGCATGCTTATTTGAAAACTAAGTGCTTAAAAATATAATTTTTTTAAAATTACCTAAGCATGACAATTATTTTTAAAATTATATATGAGCATGACAAATTATGAAGAACGGAGATGACAAAAGAGTATCGTTTCAAGTACCGATACGTTTTGGGCATGAGGACGGTCGGAGTATGTATCGGGAACGTGTCACGGTGGTAGGGTACGACTGATCAAATTCTGGGACAGTTAGAGCTTATATGGGGACGTTTCGTGAACTTTTTCAGAGTAATTACCACCTACAAGATTTGCTCGGGTGGAGAAGAGGAAACCACTAGACGAAGGCAGAGGAGGAGCCGTTGGGACCCTCCTTCGGATTCGAACGAAAAACAGAACGGGAATGGTGAGACGGGCAGTGGGAACAAGAAGAGGAAGTCCTGATGGGCAGATGATGAGCCTAAGCCGATGATTCAGCTCCCTGTTTCTCTGAAAAGGAAGAAAAGAAACAAAATGAAGAAGTCGCGGGTGGAGAAAGTATGATTTATAATTTTTGGTATAATTTCTAGTTGATCCATGATCTTTCTAAGCATTTCGAATTTGGAAACATTTTTTAGTATTTTTCAAATTGGGCACTAAAATTAATTTAGGGGTTTGGAAAATTTCTCAAATGTTAGGATTTTAATTAGAGTTAAATTAGGGTGTTACACCAATTTTTCTATGAAGTATTGAATTTGTTTATGATTTTTATATCTATTTATAATTTTAAAATATATATATATATCGTACTCTTGTTATCCCGTACCCTGTAATTTTTTGAAATTACCATTTTCCGTCCCTGTCCCGTATCTGTATACGTGCAACATAGATGACACGTGTCATTTAACGGCGGAATTTAACGTCCATTACGATCGAGACACCTGAAAGTGTAACATTAGAAACGTTAGACACCTAGATTGACCGAAAAAAGTTTAGGTACCCAAATGAGAAATACGGTAAAATTTGGACACTAATTTTTGTATTAAGTATTTTCTTTATTTCAGGTTTCTTTTTCATGGTTAAATTAAACATTTAGTATTTGAATTTGGTAACTTTTCACCATTTGATTCTTAGATCTTTTATAATATCAGTCCTAAATATTTTTTAGATCATGTTAATATTGGTATGACATTTTAAGATCGTATTAGTGGATATAATTTTACTATTTTATACTATTATAAAGATTATAAATAAACAATAATTCAAGAATTGATTATGGACTAAGTCGAAATAAAAATATTAAATTTAAATATTAAATATTTTTTATTTAAAGATAAAAATGAGAGGATAAAACAAACAAACGCACACATGGTGAGCAACCAAAATGGCAAAATGTAACATCTTGACTTATGCATATGATCATCCATCCCTTTTAGTGGGAGTAGGGGTGTATTCGGTTTGGTTCGGTTCGGTTTTTTACCAAAAATTGAATCGAATCGAAATAAACGTTTTTTCAATATTTAAATTGAAACCGATTGGTTAAAAAACTGAAAAAATCGAAACCGTTTTTTTTCGGTTCGGTTCGATTTTTTTAACGGTTCGAGTTTTTCGGTTCAGTTTATCGGTTTTTCAATGAAAAAATCATTTGAAACTATAAATTTTTTTTAAAAAATTGCCTATTCGGTTCAATATAGAACAAATAGGTTTCATATGAAAAACCCGAATCGAACCGAATCAAAAGAATGAAGACTTTAAACCAAACCGTATAATGCCAAACCGAACCAAACCGTTTTACTCGGTTCGTGTCGGTTTTTCGATTTTATCGGTTTCGTTGGTCAGCCCTAAGTGGGAGTATGTATAAGGTTGCTATTTTAATAGTATAATCAAATCTTAATTGTTATAATATCATTCTTTTTAATTTTTTTAATTAAATATTATTTTGTCAATTAAAAGTAAAAATTATATTCGAATTAGATTCAATTTTTATCTTAAATTTCGGATCATATCCTAATTCGGTTAAAACTTCTTTAAATCTATATTAGATTAAGTATCAAATGAATAATATAATTCTCAAATCATATTCATCTTAACTTAAAATCCGATCTAACCTAACTCATTATCAAACAGTATGTATGTATGTATATATATATGTATGTATGTATAGACAGAGAGGAGTGGAGTTTAAGGTTGCTGATATTATCTAATCACCGAGATATACGAGGCAAAATCGATAATTTATCTATTTATTTATATTATTAAATGAAAAATATATAGTTTTAAATACATTATCTATTTATAATAAGTTGAAGCAAACCGGAGAAATCATGATCGTTGAATCCAGCAGCGAATTGTTCTCGATAGAGTACACGTGGCGCATCTCGTTTACTTGCCTTTTTTTAATCTTTAGCCTTCCATGCATGTACTTCTCAATGAGAAATAGTCATGGTTTTTTGCTTTGATTGTTCTTCTCCTAGACCTGTTCATCGCCATCATTAGCATTAGCGACCCATCATCTCTTTCCTTTTGATATTCTTCAGTTCCAAAAATGAAAAACCCTATTTTTTTAATTTTACTTTTAATCCGTTTCGACAATCAAGAGTGATAAAAAGAATTGAATTTGGATCTCTTCGTTGTACTTAAAACGACGAACTGTCACATCACAGCTCTTGGGTATTGTCTTATCATCTCCATTGTTATGATCTGTTTTTATTTTCTCGATCTGTAATTGTTTATCTTCTCTGCTTCTTGTTTACAGCAAGGAAAAATGGAGTATTCTTTTGAAGATTCGAGGTAAGGAATGAGCTACTGATCTTGTCTTCTTTACTGGGTTTTTGTTTTTCTTTCTTTTCTGTTCCGTCTGCTTCGTTGATTCATTGATGGAACAAAGCCAAGAAAAGAGGTTCGTTTGCAAATTTTGCAACAAAAGGTTCCCTTGTGGGAAATCATTAGGTGGTCACATAAGAACTCATATGAACAACGAGAATTCTGCAGAAACTGAGGAAGAATCGGCTGAGTTCCCTTGAACAAGCTCAAGAGATTTGCTGGTTTGAGGGAAAATCCCAGGAAAACCAAGAGGTTCTCGGATTCGAGCAATGGCTCTTCGTTTAAAGGGATGATTTGTAAAGAATGTGGTAAGGGTTTTAGATCCATGAAAGCTCTTTGCGGTCACATGTCCTGCCATTCCGACAAGGAGAGAGCTTATCATTTCGGCAACGGCGACAAACATAAGCTGATTATAGATAGTCAATCCGACACCGAGACGTCGACTCCGAGTCGGAGGCGATCGAAGAGGGTTAAGTATAAGACGATAGGTGTTCAGTCGAATAATTCGGACAATTTGGGGAATGGTTCTTCATCTGTTTCGGAGATAGTGCAAGAGCAGGAGGAGGTGGCGATGTGTTTGATGATGTTGTCGAGGGATTCCTGTTGTAAGAAAGGTCCAAATTCGGTTGCCGATTCTTCGGACAACAACTTGCTCTCGTTGGAAGATAAATCATCGTCGATCGATGTGAGGATCACCGTTAAGAATGCCATGAAATGTGTTTCCAGCAAGAACAAGTTGAAGCAATCTGCTGAAACTTGTTATTCTTCAGAGAATTCTGATTCAGGGTATTTCAGAAATGGACCGAAGAAGGTGGAATCGGACGATTCCGTAGATGAGTTTCGCGATAACTTCGAGTCCAAGAAACCTAAAATGGCGTCTGGAACAGGGTTTAAAAGCAAATTCAAGTATGATTTAAGAAGAAATGGAAATAATGTTTATTACAGTCCTCAAAAGGGAGGCAAATACGAGTGCTTAACCTGTAACAAGACCTTTGATTCACATAGGGCCCTAGGAGGACACCGAGCTAGCCATAAGAAGGCGAAAGACTGCACAGAGTCGATACACGAGAGTCGTGAAAATAGCTTAGCCAGCGATTCGTTTACGGCTCCGATTAGTCATAACAAAGTTACCAAGTCTAAGAGCCTTGGTGTTGCTAAAGGTTCATCCAGCAATGCCGAGAAAATATCGGGTTCAAAGAAGAACAAGGGCCACGAGTGTCCATTTTGCTTCAGGGTTTTCAAGTCTGGCCAAGCCTTGGGAGGTCATAAAAGGTCGCATTTCGTCGGAGGAGGCTCGGATGACAGAACATTGGTGATCAAACAAGACTCAACCGAGATTCCGGCTCTAATTGACCTAAACCTTCCTGCTCCGGTCGAGGAAGATGCAGCAGGGAATGCTGCTGGATTCATGGCTTGGTAGACTCGAAACACGACTTGGGGTCACCGGCCGCCTGTATCGGTGTCCGACCGATGGTTCTGCACCCGGATTAAGTCTCGGCACGTGACACTTGCAATCTGGGTTTGATTTTTTCTAAGGGAACAAACTTTTGGGCATAGGTTCCTCATGATGCAAGAGGTTTCAGAGAGCATAGCCGAGTGAATTTACCCCCCCCCCCCAACATATTCTCTTGCTTCAAACTTGTTTTCATTTTACTACAAGGTAAATTCCATCATATGCAAGTTTAAACATAAAATCTCAGTAAATAATATATATATATATATATATATATATATATATATATATATATATATATATATATATATATATATATATACGTAGATATTATGTTGATAATGATTTTAAGCAATATCAAAGATTTGAATCCTGGTGTTTGTGAATATACTGGCTTGGGAGAGTCGTGCTATCTTGCAGTATCTGATCTAGATTAATCGGCCAATAGATTTGATACCAATAATTAATTAAAAAAATATTCAGATGCATAGATTAGAAGTCATGGGTTGAGATTAGATAAATGTGGGCATAGTATTGTGAACTGATCAGAAGCAATAGCCATTATAAGCTGAGTTTGTGTTATTATACGAAATTGTGTTAAACTGGAAAATTACCCACTTCCATCTGCATTAAAAGAAACGCCTTGCGTGCTTGCTCTTCAGTCTGTATTAATCAATAACAGGCCTGTAGATATTACCATTATTATTTTTTGTACTCTTAGTGAGAAAAACATAAAAGGTAACAGCAAACCCCATATATAATCTAAATTCCTAGGCATGTACACACCGGTGTATTTATATATTATTAACTAAATAAATGATTTTTTTGATAAAAAAATATTTTTTTAAAAAATCGAATTTGAACAATTAAACTTATTAAGAACACATTGTCAACAAATTAAAAAAATTTCTAAATAAATATTATCTTTTTAACCGCATCATATATATATATGAATTGTTCGTCCAGTTCAACTGGTAGAGCGCAAGCAAGATAATTATCATTTTGTCATGACTATTGAATACTTTTCTATTTTAGTTTTCCTTCTATTTTTACTGCAACTTCTACAGTACGGCACTCTTAATATATAATTAAAAAGTTATTATAGGTTTTGTTGTTATTTAAATAATAAAATCGATAAAATATTTATTTAAAATATTATTATTTATACTTAAAACATCAATATTTTTTAATATTTACAGTAAAGTATCTAACAATATCAAACCGATAGAAAAAATAACAAAATCGATAAAACGTATAATAATAATAAAATCGATAAAAATAATAATAATTTCTATAATTTTTACCAATTTTATTATTTAAATAATAATAAAACTAAATAATATATTTTTTAATAGTATATTAAGAGTTATTTCTCACTTTTACTCTTTTAGTCGCCTCAACAAAGACCTTATTTCCTTTTTCTTTTTTTTTGGCTTTTGTCGGCAAATTGTCACGTGCTTTTTGTTTTTTCACCACATGATATAAAACCGAAAGTTCTATAGTTCATCTTAGCATGATCGGATTAAGGTTGGATTTTTATCAGTTTCACTTGAAAATATGAATCTTTCATTAGAATTTGATTATATCCGAAAATTATATATTTTCTATCTGTTTCGATTCTATTTGACCTAAAAGATATATATTTTCTAATCGATTTTGACTCGATTCAAATTTTTAGAGTATAAATCTGACCCGACTAGATATAAAATAAAGACTTAATTAAAAATAATATATTTTAAAAAAAATTACATTATTATCTCTTGGTCGGGTCGTTTTTCCATCCTCCACTTGAACTCGACCCGATCTGACCTCTCCCCTTAAAAATTCTAAACCAAATCCAATTTTTTTTTATAAAAAAATCGATCTTATCGAATCAAATTGAGTCTAAACCCTTTGATTTCGGGTTAAATTATCATCTCTACATATGATTAAACGCAATTTAATCCTCCACCGTGAACATTTTATTCAGTTGAGCATTTAGTTCTGAAAGTAATACTAAGATTGAATGTTAAAAGATGTTAATATACTGTATTTTGAAGTGACTAGAGAAGAGTAATTCAGTGATTATCATATTCATCATAGATTAAATTGGATGCTCTTGTCTGCTCTAATCCGATTTGATTAGTCTTAAAAGTTTTAGATAATATTTTATATTATATTAATTTTTCACAGAGACTAGATGATTACATGTTGTGAACTCTTACATGATTAAGATATTTTAATAAAGATGTAAGAAAAGTAAAAACATTTGGTAAATATTCTTGGGCCTCAGTAATTTAAAAAATCTTATATTACAGCTCTAATCCAGTTATATATATATATATATATTAAAAAAATTATAGGGTCGGTATACACAGGGCCGTGATAGGGTTTTCGAGGGTCATGTACAAATTCTTATAAAAGGGCTCCTATTTTTTTTAGATATATTTGATTTCGGGGAAACAATAGTGGCGTTTTTTGATAAACGCCGCGATAGATCTATCTATAATGGCGGTTATCAATAAAGCCGCAATAATAGTGACATTTTTAAAAAAACGTCGTAATAGATCCATCTATAGTGGCGTTTATTAAATAAGCGCCACTATATATATTTTTTTTTGAGGCCTCATTTTTTTAAGGCCCTGCGCGTTCGCGTCACCCTAGCCACGGCCCTAGGTATACAATGAATGCAGAGAAACCCTAAAAGTGGACTCTTTCCAGGTCAAGCATAGTAACTACAATACTGCCAGCAATTTAAACCAAATAGATTCAATATAATATGTGTTAGTACGACACATAATGGTAAACTATACTTTCCATCACTCAACGATATTTAATGTTGCTCTTATTTCCATATTTTAACTTCAATTTTTTAATTTAATTATTTAATTTTTAAATTATTAACATTTTAACCACTTAACTATTAATTATCAATTTATGATATTATAACAGGGTAAGATCTTTAAACTTTATTTTAAATTTGTGAAAATTCTCCTAAAATCTTCCCCTAATTTTTTAGCCCAGTTTTTTAGATTCCCTTTAGTTTTTTTCTTTTATGTTAGAGTATTTTCTTCCTAATCTCAACAGTAAAAAAAGAGAAGAGAACGGTAATATATCTTGATTCCATGTTAGTTAGATAATAAAAAATACATACTAGAGTGTTAAAAAAATATGAAACGAATAAGTCGAGGTCTAAAGTGATTGATCGATGAAAACAACTGGAATACAACTTTACCAATGGCAAAGGAACATCTAAAACGTAATCTAAATGATTCTACAGGTACTTAAGAATATTTTCACAGGCACTAAAGTTGCAATAATCAATCAATCTTTCACAAGCACTAAAGTTGATTTAATCAATCAAAACCCATGTCTAGAAAGGCCTTTCCAAATTCCTGATAAACATAAGAAAGCCGGCAACATCAAACGCCCTAAGAACAATAGCCGATAAAATTATGCACCAGAGTCCAGACGTTATTCTTGATGTGGAAACAAGCGAAGAAATCACTAGGATGACTGGCCTACCACATCACTGTAGATACCAGTATATCGATAAACATTTAGGATCAATTCTATCCTATTTATTAGTACTCCGATACAGTTCTGTTCCAATAGATTAAGACTGACCAATCAAAGAGCTTTCTATATCTCATGCTTGTGGGGTTGAATATCAAAACATTAATCACAGTGGTCCACTAGCTAGTATAGCTAAGAAGGTCTACACATGTGAAAGCCTCATCCATCATGGCTATGGTAGGTTGAACTACACATCAATAACTAAGCTTTGCATCTTCCTTATAACTTCAATATTTTCCCTTTGGCATCGATCTACTTTGGTACTGATTGTTCCTCCTAATTTGAGTTAAAAAAAATGATACCGCAATCCTCCATTTAAAGCACACATATTCAAATGGACAACCACATTAATTAACTTGATTTAATCCAAGGAAGATGTGCATACCATATTTTCTTTCTGATCATCTGTTACGCATTCCGGGAGGGACGATATCACTGAGTAACCCTTCATCTGTCGGGGACTTTGAGGCGGTGGGTTTGGGCACTGGTCGAGATTCTCCTACGTCAGTGGGTGCTTCGTGTGCCTTTGACTGTGATCGTGTTATGCTCGGAGGAATTTCCCTATGTAACTGTAGCCCTGGATTATAAAATTGTGAGACTGCCGGTGTCAATTGACCACCAAAGGCAGCTTCATGGCTGATGAGTCCCCCTCTGGGGAATGCTACAGTGTGATGACAGTGTTGACCTTCATATGTAGTAATGACAATGGTAGGATCTTCGGAAGAGCGTTCCACCCTCTTCTTCACTGTGCATTTGTTGTTTGTACAGCGATAATAGCTCCTGCGAGAGCCAATATATGGCTTAAATTTGCAATACAATCTGGAAGTTTTACTTCCATTAATGATTTTAAGCATGAATTCATCATTTGACTACGCTCTAACATAATGATTCTATTGAGGGTTTTTGCTACATGATAAAAGAAATCTCAACTGAACCATAAGGGGAGTGTTGAAAGATTTATGTCAATTAAACTAATACAAATTTCAGATTCGGTTCCAAACAACCCTACCCCTTCCCTTATTAAGGACTTTGCTTTATAAATTTGATCACTTTAGATAATGCAAAGTAAAGCTTTTTCTCACATAAATATGGCTGAACAAAAATATTTATGCAGTAAAAAATTCATACTAGTGCTTTTAAGAAAATAGAGAATCAATTTTTAAGATGTTAAACGAGGATGGGGCTGGAATTAAACATTGGGATCAATTAGATTATTTTATATAAAAAGAATAAAGATCTAAAAATTAAAAAAGATTTTTTATTTAATTAATATTTAAAATAAAAAGATCTAAAGTACCATTATATAAAAAATTTAGGGTCACAGTCCCAAATCCTTGATGGCTTCGTCCTAGGTGCTAAAAATGGCATACTTATGAACTAATTAAAAACCAAAATTTAACGTTGTTGAATATACTCTACTTTATAATAACCCTTTGATTTCATTTTTCCACCCTTTTTTGTCAATATACTGATAGAAACTACCCCTATGACAAAGAGAAGAGAACTGATTAATACACAAAATTATTATATTGGAAAATTTACCATATGTTTCAGCATATTGTTAATTTTTTAACAGAAATATGGCACTGAATCAGTTCTAAAAGTGGGTAAAATGTCAGTTTTCGGTAAATCACCATCAATAATAGAGAAATAGCAACAGACCGAGGAAATGGACTGCTTTTAACAGCTTTTTGTCCATATTTCCGCCATCGATAGCCGTCTTCAAGATGATCAACCTCACTCTTGGTCATAAATGCAAAACGTGGCTGCCGTATTCGTTTTAGCCCCTTCTTCCTCACCTTACTCCTACAAAAATATCCCACCTACAATTATCAAAACGAAAAGAAGAGGAGAATCCCTAAACATTAAAAGCTTTCGTTTGAAAAAAGAATTAAATGTGAAGAATTAAAGATACTGGTACTTCGTGCCATGTAAATAACAAGCAACTTTCTTATAACATGAAATGCAATAACATATTAACTGCATTCACATATTCCTAAAGCAATGGAGAAACCCACCAAAAAAGTAGCACTCAAATAGCATATAATGAATGATTTGCAATACCCATTTCACTTTTACATGACGGGATGAATTTAGAGCAAAAGAGAGACTTCATAAAAAAAACTATGGAAGGAAGTATGATCTGAACTCTATGATTAACGTTACCGAAAGGGGGATTTTACCAGCTATATTCCCGCTATTTGCCTTAATATTAACCCGACTAAAACTTGAAACAGAACCAGCAAGGAAGAATAAGTAAAACAAAACTAAGAACGGCATATTCCCGCCGCAATAGCGGCGGTGTAACGGCGTTCAAGGCCACTTCGTTAATAGCCGAAAAGTTCCTTTTGGTTTCACCCCTATATTCCCTTGATCGCACCTATTGTTTCACAAAAATTACGAGACTACCTTATCCTATTCCCCAACTTGCACGAAACAATTTGTTTAATTTTACAGTTTCATAACGTACGGACTCTGAAAATGGTACCCTTTGTACTACAATCTGTTATTTTAACCACCAGGATCTGTACGTAATTTCGACTCAGACCTCGAAATAATAAAAATAAATAAATAAATAAACAGACAAATTTTTTTGGTGATCTTTTATCTTCATTTTCATCGTTGGCGAAGGATGTTTAATCACCATACTAGTACTACTCACGGTATATCGGGCGGTTTTCCGCCGGATCCAGAAGATTTCTCCGGCAGATCCTCGCTGGAGCTCGAATACCCCGACGGATTCGACGTCGACACATCAGCTGACCCACCCGGATTCGAAGCCGTACCCGAAACTGAACAACGAGCAACATCATCAGCTGCAGCGCAGTTTTGTGAGCCGCTAAAGTTTCCCGCCAAGTCAGGCCGATCTAGTTCAGTGAACCGCCCAAACTCATCGGCATGGTCCGGCGTTAGATCCCAGCCGAATTCACTGAGTATACTACTCTCCCTGTCGAAGAAGTAATAAACGCCGTTGGACACCGAGTCAGGTCCTCCCTCGGAAAGTGTCCAACTCGACTCCGATGTAAACTCAGCTCCCGGATTGCCCCCCTCTTTATCTTCCATATCAGCAAACAAAAGGGTGAATATATCAAAGGATTCAAAGCATCCAAACAGAATCTAAAAGAAACGCGGAGAGAGAAATAAGAAGAGCTAGGGTTTTGGAGTTCTGCGTATGTGTTAGTTTTAGTGTTGGGGAAGGCACTCATAGTTTTTGAAAAGCTTTCTTTTTGTCCCATCAATCGAGAGAGAGAAGGTAACGAATATGAAAGTATTAAAAGTTACACAAAAAGGACTAATTTTCTTTCGGTACATATACTCTTTGCATATTTGAAATTGAGTTTACCTATCTTTAATTTTATGATTATTAATATCTCTTGCTCTTTTGGTTTGATAAATGACACCAAATTGTTCGATCAATCTAATTTAAATTTAATACATAATTTGAGATATCTAATGTTCTAGATCAATTGATAATTGGAATTTAATAATTTTATTATTATAATTTTAATTATTGCATAAAAATAAAAATTATTTTAAATATCCAATAAAACTTTAGCATAATTAACCATGGTTGAAATTTATCGTTGAAGTTTTAGATTCAATTTTATTTTAATTTAAACCTAATTGCATGAGTTCTTAGTTCATATTTTATTTTGGTTTAAGACATATTACTAAGTGTGATGTTAACGTGTCACCATAAAACAATGTCATGCCAACTTTAAATAATAATTTAAAAAAATACAATGTCATGAATATATAGGTAGTTTAAAACAAAAATGATATTAGGGTTAATTAATGATTAAAACAAAAATTCAGTAACAAGTGGGTGACTAAATAGATAGTTTACCCAAAAAGATATTAGGTAAAGTACACAAATGTTCTCTTGACTATATGGTATTGCTTTATTAAGTCCCCCAACTATTAAAAGTTATAAAATAGTCCTCAAATTATAGAGTATTACATTGTTGAGTCCTTCCACTATTAAAAGTTACAAAATGGTCACTCGACTATTCATTATGTTACAAACTCATCATTTCCCGTTAAAAAATTGACGATATTATGATCTGAACGTTAACCTGCTGATTATGATATGATAAAATATAATTATAGAATCTCTAACGACTATCATATCTCAGTCACCACTAATGTTCAACTTAGACAACCGCCAAGTTTTTAATAAAAAGTGACGAATTTAGAACATAATGAATAGTCAGGTGACTATTTTATAACTTTTAATAGTCCGGAAATTTCACAAAGCAACATTACATAATTGAAGAACTGTTTTATAACTTTTAATAATCAATTGACATAATAAATCAATATCCTATAATCGAGAGATGTGTGTAGTACTTTACCCAAAATATTGCTTACACTTAAAGTAACCAATTTGGATAGACTCCCACATACATGATGTTCATTTGATGAGCCAATTTGATTCGGCTGCAGTCTCGTCTTCAGTATACAAAGCTGGTCCCTCAACATCTAAGTTTGGGTCCCACTTCATTATTTCAATCAGATTTTTACTCCTAAATTTTATATTGAGAAATCAATATTAAAAACCCCACCACCCTTGTCATAATCATCTTTAATATTATTTCATTAGAAAAATAACATCACGAACACGTCCAAATTATTATTTTATTTCTTCAAAATTTTATTCGATTAAAATCTATTATTTTTATTTTATAATATATAATAATTATTTATAACAAATCAATAATTTAATAATCGTTTTAAATTTTTAATGATTAATAACGTAATTTAATAATTATATATATATATATATATATAATTCATCATTGTTTTGGAAAATAGTCAGTGTAGGAGACCGCACCTTAAAACATGAACCCATCATGGGAAACAGCTACCTTATGAGGATCAAACACAGCGTTTGCTGTCAAGATCGATGTCCAATTACTGTTAATTAATTAATTAATTAGGTTTAACATATATGATTAATTAATCAACACCGACAAGCATAGCATTTACTTATGTGTTTGTCATAATAATTCAGTGTTAAAACGCGTTGTTGTTCGTGAGAAGTTTAATCATAAATTTAAATTTTAAAATTAAATTGTTTAATTTTAAGTAATTTAGGTAGAATATCATCTATTTTTTATTATTAAAATAAAGGACAAACTACACCATATACTACTGAACTTTAATCGTTGTATCGTTTATATTATTAACCTTTTAATTTTGTTAATTATAGCACTGAATTTTGATTTTCGTTTTAATTATACTACTAGACCGTTCAATCGATAACAACCATATCAAAATGATGTCATTTTAGTGAGGTGTCTACGCCGGCTATGTCATTGTTTCGTTAATGATTTAACGGTTCAGTGATATATTTGAAACGAAAATCAAAGTTAAGTGCTATCGTTGATAAAATTAAAAGTTCAGTGATATAAACAATACAACGTCTAAAGTTTCGGTGGTATATGATGAAATTTACCCTAAAATAAAATACGAGATGGTTACCCACCTACCCTTAATTAGTTGTTTAAGTGTAGATGCTTTTGATTAGCCTTTATATATATATATTCCTGCCTACTCAATAAAGCAGCAATTTATGTGCCGACAGCCTTTCTCATTAACAATCCCGATGTGGGATTTGATTTAAAGCATTCAACCTCAGATTTAGGTTCTGTCTTATTGTTATTTACATGTATTCCACCTTTTATGACTCAATTCTGCACAAAGTTTGGGGGACAAGATTTCAATTTTACGTGTATTTTGTTTAAGGGTAAAGCATAATAATGGTCACTGAACTTTTTTAAAACTTTCCTTTAGGTTCCTCAACTTTTAAAACTTACAATACAATCCTCTAACATTTAGTCTATTTGTAATATGATCCCCGCCGTTACATTGTGGTTAGTACGTTTGTAATAGGGTCACTGAACATTTCAGACACTTGCATTTAGGTCTCCTAACTTTTAAAAATTGCAACACAATCCTTAATTTCATTCTAAATCCTAAATTATTTTTCGATCTCGAATTTCCTTTTTCGCTTCTCACTTTTCATTTTCAGTGTAATTTTTCAGTCGGGGATGCATGGGAAATTATAATCTAACTTTGAATTATGTGGAGGTGTTAACTTGAATAAGAGTTCATTGAGAGAAGACCCGACCAAGGTGTTTATTAGTTTCCGTCTCCGTTATGCTACAACCAGGATCTTTGCTCAATCCTCTCTGCTTCATCAATTCTCTTACCTGATTAACCTGAGCCCATCTCCCGTCCGAGGCATACAAGTTAGAAATAAGCACGTAGTAACAAGCCTTATCCGGATGCAGATTGAGCATTTTCTTGATAGCCGCTTCTCCGAGATCGAATCTCGAATGGAGTCCACATCCGTGAAGAAAAGCTCCAAACAAACGAACATCTGGTTTAAAAGGCAATTTTTCGATAAAATCAAAGGCTTCTTCAAGCCGTCCGGCACGGGCCAGCATATCAACCATGCATGCATAGTGCTTCACAGAAGGAACAAAGTTGTAGTCATTGCACATTGAATTAAAACATTTCCATCCTTCCCCGAGCCGCCCCGTATGGCTACATGCAGATAAAATCGTTGTGAAGATTACTTCATTTGGCTCCAGGTTTTCCTTAATCATATCACTGAAAAGTGCAAGAGAACCACTGCTGTCCCCTTGAATTCCATAACCACCGATCATTGCACTCCACGTGACAGTGTTTTTCTCTCCCATACTGTCGAACACAACACGAGCGGATTTAGAATCCCCACATTTGGCGTAGAAGTTCAAAAGCGTGGTGCCAACATGAACGCTAGACGATAGGAGGCCGGCTTTTATAGAGTAAGCATGAAGTGAAGAACCGACTTGGAGAGCACCAAGTGAAGCACAGGCTGACAAGATGCTAACCAGTGTAACAGAATCAGGTGACACCGATTTCGACCTCATTTGATGAAACACTTCGAGTGCATCATATGCAAACCCATTTTGTGAGTAACCAGAGATGATCGTGTTCCAGGCAATTAAATTTTTATCCGAGACAGTCTCAAATATGTACCTAGCTTCTCTAATCGCTCCACACTTCGCATACATGTCCACTAGAGCGTTTACCACACAGTTGACTCGATAACTCCAAGCTGAATCCCCAAAGAATGAACTAACCTTCCGATGCTCAAATTGCTCAACTGCGCACATGCTGAAAGCAAACTTGAAATGGTAACAGCATTGGGGAATATCCCAAATCTTTTCTTATCGACAAACAACTTCAAAGCCTCTTCAGGAAATCCGCTCTAAGAATATCCAGCAATCATTGCAGTCCACGATACAAGATCAACAGAAGAAAGTTTGTCGAATACAGAACGAGCATCGCGTAGACTACCGCACTTAGCATACATGTCTATAACAGCAGTCACCAAGTAGGAATTAAGTTTGATACCAGTCTTAATAGCATATCCATGCACCCATTTCCTCTGATGCAAAGCCCCCAACTTTCCACAAGCAGTAACTAAGCTCACTAACGTGAAATGATTGCTCTCAACCATTGTTTCTCTCATCCTATTTAACAAAACCAATGCTTCTTTAGAGCAATCATTCTGTACAAACGCTGCAAGCATCCTAGTCCAAGAAACCACATCTCTATAAAGAATTTCACCGAAAACCTTCCGCGAACATTCGATTCGTCTACATTTAGCTTACATATCAACAAGACCAGTTTGAACAAAACTATCAGGATTCCCTACCTTGATGATTTCGCAATGTACTTTCCTCCCTTCATCGATATCCTGCAATTCGTAACAAGCCCTTAACACGATCGAAAAGACGACATTATCACACGATCCAACACCCATTCTCATACAAGCATAAAACCTAATAATCTCCGTATACAAATCGTTCAAAAAAATACCACCTGATCATCACTTTCCAGGAATAAAAATCTGGTTCAGGAATTCGATCGAACACCAACCGGGCAACCCCCACATGCCCAAATGTCCCATAAAGGCTAACCAATTTGGTATCGCACAAAAGATCACCTTTGATCCCACTTACAAAGAACAAGGCGTGGACTTTCTTCAGATAATCGATGTTCTTGCAAAAACCCAGAAGAGAAAAAGACGGGTTCGAAGAAATCGAATGCACTGGAATAAAAGAATGGTCCGAAGAAGAAGGGCATTCAGAAGGGAGATCAATAGTGTAAGAAAAAGATCTCCATTGAAAGTAAGGCTCCCTCCTGGTAAGAGGACGAGAAACTTGCCTGTGAAAGAAAGCGAGAAGCTTCGTCACCATTGTTATTTAAAGCTTAGGCTTTGTAGTTAAACGCACCCCCATTTTTTGTCGTGCAGTTTGGTTTCCTGGGTATGATTCGTGAGCTGATTTTTCTAAGAATAATAATATGGGAGAATTATTTTGTAATTTTTAATAGTCGAGTAATTTAGTAAAATATTATTTTATAGTTAAGGGATTGTTTGTATACTTTATTTTTAATATTATTTTATTATACTAATTTTTCTATACGATGTCTAAATTATCTAAATCTTTTTCAATTCATAATTAGGGTAAAATCATAAAACTTATTGGAGGATTAGTCAAAAGTGTAATTTTACCGTTGCATTAGTTTATACTTTTATAATTTTTTAAGGGAGTTTTACCATTTTAGAAGGGTCAAAATCTATTTTAGAAGTGTGTTAATTTAAAACTTCACAATTTTAAAGGGACTTAAACTACACTTTTTATTATAGTAAATTGAACGGAGGATCAATCTGAAAATAAAAAAATTAAGTAAGCCCAAAAAGGAGAAATAAAATAAAATGGGGGACTTGACATTGAAAAGTGGAAAGTGAAGGGTGATTGGGCAAGAGAGTATCTGAAAGTGACGAGGCATTTGATGATGACCATGAGATATCTTGTACATTTGTACTACGAATCATCTCGGACTCTGACACCTCCTATTATGTTGCATACAAATCCTTAATCTTCTCATTCTTTCTCCACGCGCTCTTCCTCTTCGTGTATCCCAGTTTCTTGTTCTCATTTTTTAAGGTTTAATACAAAATTAAATGTCCAAACTATTCTTTGAAAAATATTTTAATGCTCAAATAATTTTTTCCACTAAAATTAGATGTCTAATGTTTTAAACGGTATATTTTAAGTCCCAAACATTAATTATCGTTAAATATATTTGTTAAGTGACACATTTCACGTTTTGATAATTTATTCTAAAAAATATTTTTTTTTGTAAAAAACAAATAAACAAACAGTCCCAGCTTGCTCTCCCCCTTTCCCCTTCCCCTTGTCTCCTTTCAAAAGTCGTCGGCCGGCCAATGATGATCGTCATCGTCATCGATGTCAATCCTCGATAGCCTTTCGTCGTAATATGCTACCGTTTGTCGTGGAGAAGTATTCAAAGATTCGTCGGATTTTAAGTAACCGTCGTCGTTATTTGTCGATTACGACGTCCATAAGTCACACCACCGCCACTATTCGAACCACCATGCTATTTCGATCAAAACCCAACCATTTAGCTACGACGACGATGGCCAGCAATCATTTGGGTTAAGAAATTGAAATTGGAAATTAGGGATTTAGATATTGTGGATTTTAGATTTAGTGATTTTGGGTGACAGTAAGGAAGACGATTGATCAATAGGTGGGTGGCCGTTCGGTAATGACGATGGTGGTCGAAGATAGCCGACAATGGTTTGTAATAAAGTTTGAAATGAGAGATTTTAATTTTTTTAGGATTTTTTTATAATTTCAGTAAAAAGTTGGGTTTTTATAAATAAAATAAACTTTTTTCCTTTTTTCCGATTAAAAATAATATTTTTATTGTTAAAATTTTTTTTAAAAAAAATAAACGATAGACACCTAAAAGTATAACCGAAAAAATGTTAGATACCTATTTTTAGCGAAAAATTATTTAGGCACTAAAATATTTTTCGATGCATAGTTCTGACACTTATTTTTATATTAAGCCTTTTTTTAATTTACATAAAAAGTAAAGGGTAAAATACACAAATGGTCTCTCGATTATAGGATAAAATATACAATTGAAACGGATTTGAGATCAACTTTTATCATATATCAGTCAGCAGGTTAACTTCTAGCTTAAACGATTGTTAAATTTTTAACAGAAAATGATGAATATGTAACATTTGAATATTCGAGTAACTATTTTGTAACTCTTAATAGTTGAGGAACTCCGGAACTCAACAAAGCAACACCATATAATTAGAGGATTATTTTGTAACTTTTAATAGTCGAGTGACTCGACAAAACAATATTATATAGTCGATGGGCCATTTGTATACTTTACCCAAAAATAAAATAAAAATAACTAGTAGCACTAATGCAATCACTTGATTTTGAAAAGTATATTAACAAATTTACTTTTTTTAACAATTATTTTCTAAGAAAGAAGAAAGGGGAATTTTATTTACAAGGGGTACTGGACTCGTAACTTAGGGGAGTAAAAGGATATACTAACTAAGAACTTTTAACCATTTATTTTAGAGATTATCAATAAAAATATAATTATCTTTTGTAATAATTGAAAAAAAAAATATAATGAAGATTTGGTTAAATAAAATCATATATTAATCTGATTTATTGATATATATAAAATTGTGAATCGTTAGATCTAAATATTTAATTTAAAACATTATTTATTAGTTAACCGAATGATCTCAATTTTATAATAAGCTGATTACGGTCGTAATTATATCAGCCGAATTAATATTCATGTTTAAACTTTCACTTTTTATGTTCTAAGTAGGGATGGACACTCAACCCGAACTCGACGGTTCCGACCCGATCCGATCGAGTCAGATTTTTTTTTTAAAAAATCGAGTTCGGGTCGGGTCGAGTTTGGGTTTAGGGTAAAAAATACTCACTCCGAAAAAATATATAATTTTACTTTATATATTTATGAATAATTACAATAATACCCCTCTCTATATAATTTTTTTCAATTAAATCACTGTTTTTATTGAATAAAAATATTTTTTTTATTGTTTCGGGTCGGGTCAGGTTGGTTTCTATGTCATATATTCGGGTCGGGTCGGGTGAAACCTTGTTTTGGTCGGGTCATGTTGGGTCTCGGGTGGAGGCTCCCTTGTTCTCGGGTCAGGTCGGGTGGACCAAAGACCCGACCCATGCCCATCCCTAGTTCCAAGGAGTAATTATTTATTGGCACTAAAAGTATAAATCCAAGTTAAACCGGGAACAATTGGGACAAGTTTCAGCTGGACGAGTATGCCCATGTTTCTGCAACAGGACAGACAAACAGGCAATGAAGTTTAAAACAAAATTTTCATTGTTCTTTTGCAACTTTTCTCATGAAACAAACAAAATTTTCCCCATATTTTTCTCAGCTGTTGTTCGAAATTCTTTCCGGGATATTCACCCTTTGTCGGGAAAACGTTTCGGAAATCTTTAACATTATATATCAGTCGGAGGAACCGATGCTTGTATTCGATGAATGCATATCCGAACACGAGTTGGACACTCATCCATATCCGATGCTTACAACCGAATCCGAGAAACAAAGATCAGTGATTAACCAGACCAAACAAACCACAAACACTCGGCGCCGTTCGAATCACCCACAAGAAAAGCTCTTATGGTTTCACTATATTGACAAACTGAAGGAATGTCTGTCCTATATGTCTTGGAAGAAATAATGCAACATTATTTATGGATAATGCAAGTTGTTCTTAATCACCCCAAGACATAAAATCAAGTATTGCCTAATTTCAGGCTGAGAGGAAATCTCAAAGCAGATGAACAATAATGATCTAGTTTTCTCTATAGCAATCTTGATGAATAAGGCCTCGAATTCTTTTTTCTTAGGTTAATCCAATAGATGGAGGATTACCCGACGGACATCGTTGCCTGCGAGGCCGTCTAGTTGTCTTCCCCCATCCAGTAAGGCTTCGATCCTCCAGCCCCACTTCAATGTTATTAAGCTCCTGTGTCAATTGCATGCAAGTTGTGGCAGCTACTGGAGGAGAGGAACTAGTTACCGACCGTCGCCTCCCTCGGCCACACCCAGCTCTGGTAGAGTTCCATGAATGACCGGTCGCTCTCATAAGTCCTCCGAATGTCTGAAGATCTTCCGTTACCTCATACCTTGATAGGGAAACAAGGCCTGGAAGGATGTCCCTTTGAAAGTCCCTCCGCTGCCTTCCTCGCCTTCTCTGTCCCCTTCGTGCTCGAGTCGTTAACAAAGATGTACTTCCTGTTTCTTCTACTTTTAAGTTTTCAGGTACCAGAGGCTCAGGCATATAATCCTCTTCCCGGGTTTCTTTTAAGTTCAAAACCATTGATTCGAAGTAATCAAACTCTTCCAAGGAAGGTTCATCTCGATCTCTATCATTACCGCCAGTAATAGACTCGAACTTCCTCTCGAGATCTTCCCCAAAAGAGGAAATTGTCTCAACAAACCAATTTAGGGGGTCTGTAATAGTGTTTTCAGATGAATTGCAATCAACATCATCCGAATTACTGTCCTGAAAAGATGATGAGATGGCAACTATTGCCTCAGCTGCAATCTTTGCAAGTTCATCCTGCACATAGTGATCTTTACTTTGTGTTGACTGCAAAGATGGTTCAGATGCCTTTTCCAGTAATTCTTCTCCACGAATGACATCTTCAGGCTCAGGAATTAGTGGGGCTTCCAAATCTATCCCTCGAGTTGTCTTCGTACCGGTGCTCGCAACGGAGGGTATAAAAGAAGCTTCATCCTCGTCAACACAGGAGTTCAAGTCCAATTGAAGTCGGAAACTTGAGACCTTTGTATTTGTTTCCTTCTCTATCGCTGAATTCTCTGCAACGATGTCGTGGTTCATGTCCAGAAGAGTTGCATCACAAGGTAAGTTAATATCAAGTAACGTATTCCTTCCTTTATTTTCTGCTTCAACTTCTGAACGTTGAGGAACGGACGCATGCGATGCGATCAAAGAAGATTCGTTCTTAGATACAAAAGGCTTTTCGAAAATGGGGATCCCGGGTATCTCTTTGTTGTGCGGATATTCACTAACTTCACTACTGCTGGTATCAAAGTTATTGGCGAATGAAAGCGACTTCACATCCCGTGTAACATTTTGACTGAAATCATTGCCAGCACTTGTGGCCTCATTCTTACAAGAAGGCATGGCTTGTAGCCACGGTAGCCTTCGGAGATGATCTTCACAGTTTCTTCCTCCATCTACCCGAGTACCGCATTGCAAAACCGGCTCATTAGATGCACTGTTTGAAAGCACCGCATTCAAATTTACACCACTCGTTGACTTCATATCAACGCTAGTTGAACAGCCGTAAGGCTTAGTTGAACTATGAGAAGGGAAGTGCTCAGAGACCACCTTACTATCATAACTCACTGACGGGAAGCGAATTGCAGATTCCCTGGACCCCGATGAGGAATCGTAATAAAAACCATTTCGATTGGGAAATTCGCTTACAAAACTTGGATTAAGTCTAGAATTGCTACTCACCTGCCACTTCCCTCCGAAAATCCCAATGCTCGGGGATGTCATCACAGAACTCTTACTCAAAGGACCGGGTGAATTCAAAAATGGGTGAGTTGGAACTGTCATTGACTTCTCGCTTAAGCTACTGGAAGGCTTGTCCCAAGAAGTAACCGAATGAGACCACTGCTTTATGACATCAGAAGAATCATATGGATTCAAACTAGGTACATTAGACATGACTATCGACTCTGGATGACTGTTATTCGAGATTTCACCATTTCTTTTGGGAACTTCTGAACCTCGAAGCATTCTTTCTTTCGAGAGATCAGCCTTGCTTTGATCGGTTACCAAAAATGTTCGAGGATCAGGAGTTTTTTCATAAGGAACCTGTACCTGCTGAGTAGATACAGGCAACTTCTGCTGATGAAAACCTCTAGAAATCGACTTTGAGTTGCTTTCACTATGCCCTGCAAACGGAGATAACAACCACACGAACAATCGTAAATACGTGTAACATTATGATAGGAAGGGAAGTCAAGTATTCAATGATTTTTTTAGGTTCAGTAGTTCACAAGTGAGTATTACCTGCTTCAAGCAGGTAACAGAAGAATCGTCTCACGGTTCCGTTTTTCTCAACATGCGCATTACTTACAGACTTCTTCTCACTTTCGCGAAGAGAATTCACAGAAACGTCTTTTGGCAAACAAGGAAGCTCTTGCTTCGGGTTAGCAGACTGTTCATGGCCTAGAAAGTGTGAAAATGCAGAACCATCAGTTTCTTCGATCTGAGCAGGCTCATTCAAGTCAGCCAAACTATTTTTGCCCCTCGAGCATGAATTGGATCTTGAAGCATCTTCGAGACAATCAGTCTTCCCTACACGAAATAGCTTCCCACCACTCGCAGGCCCGATTTTCCCATTTCCGTTCAGATGATAACTTGACATGCCAGATGCTGTGTCATCTCTGAATTGCTCTGCTTCTTCAGTATCGATGTACTCGTCTGCTGGAAGTTCAAGATCAAACATTTTCCTTCTTACTTTTGTGGGCCTGCACTCTAACACCTCAGCATCCTTTATGTTACCTCCATTCCCGGATAAGGGATCGGCCCGGGTGCTACTTCCCTTCACTGAACTAAGGGGAGAATAAGTATCTTCAACACCAGAAACTGACGGTAGACCATAAAGAGAGTTTGCCACCGGAAAGCTAGGGATATGCCATTTGTTAGCCTCTTCGGTTGTAATTTGAGACGCTAACAGGCTTGATGATAACGATGGCTCAATAGGAATCTGATTGTTCTGTAAATCTTTCTTTTTAAATTCATCCATCAACTCCCTTTGTATTCTGTACAAGCGGTGAAGCTCAGACACCTACATAGAATACAAAGAACTTAAATACTTAAATATCTTCGAAACAAAGTCGATTATATAAACAAGCAACACTCAGTGACTCAACTCCATTGAAACATGCAGGTAAAGACCATGTATAAAGGCACAAAAACAGCAGAGATCTTATTTACCTGATTCTTAAAAATAGCCTCGTGCTTGAGCATTATTCTCTTCAATGTGTCCTTATCATACCCGAGATACGCATTGACATTGGCCCTCGAGAAAAAGCCATTGTAATGCTGACTGTTTGTCAAGGTTTTATCCTCATAATAATGTGGCCAGCTACAACTGTTCGAATCCTCATTGAGATCCCTCATTGAATAATATCCGGGCAAACAGGTTTTCGACTGAACTTTTGTTCCCATTCCTGAAATCAATAAACAAGTCTAGAATGACATAACAAGGAGAATGGAACCCTATTGTTTCCAGACTCCATGAACATTAAAAGCAATAACCATTAGAATGGAGATATCAGTTACGGCGTCATTTTCGTTTTACATAAATATGACTATCGACATTAAACCAAGCCTAATATCTGGTATCATTGAAGGCCTAGGTTCCCTATAGATGAGTGAATTCAACAGCCACTCAGGATTCTCGTAAACCATCACAAGAATAAAGTGCACAATCCACCTAAAATTGCAGAGTTTCACCTTCATACCAAGAACCAGAGTATTGAAGAAAACACCCTCATTGAAGATATCTGCAATTTCATATTGATGCATACAACTACAGCAATCGAAGCTCGACGAAATAAGTCGTGATCGTGTAAGTCGATAAGCAATGAGCCAAAAGCATACACATACACTAAGATAAGTATAAGGAAAGCAACAACAGTATAAATTAAGCACCACATCACTTCATCTATGTTGAAACTTCCCCTATAAGGGCAAAATTTTGTAGAAAGGGATATTGATAAAGCAGGAAAGTTAGGGATCCTATCATCTATAAGGCAAAAGATCCAACATAACTAATACCAAAATTAAGTCAATATTAACAGATGAACAAACCATCACAAAAGCTGTTATCAGCCATCAAATCATAATTTCATTAATCAAAATCCAAAAATAAAAAAATAATAACAATAAGTGGAGAGTTTAGGCTGAATTAACTCAATTGCAAAGCCATTATAACCCCCACAATTTATCAGACTAGCCAAGAAAAGGGGGGGAAATAATGAATAATTAAAGAAAAATAAAGAAAATCCAATTAACAAAATCATAAGATAATAAATTAAATATATATAAGTCAAATTACCAGGAAGTGAAAAAGGAACAAAATTTTACCTCAGACCCACATCCTTTAATCAAGACTCATTCGAGATTCTCCCATGGATTTAGCTTCAACACTTCCCCATCATAGATAAATTCAAAAGCTCCCAAAAGCTTGCCAGGATGTCAACAAAAGATTAAAGCTTTAAAACAACAAAAATACAGTAATAAAAAAGACAATACAGCTAAAACAACAAAGTGGGTGTTCTGTTAACACCATAGATCGTCATCAGGACAAAAGACAAAGATAGAAAGAAAGAAAGAATCTTGTTAAAGTTCTAATATTTATTTTTGTTTCTAGAGAGATAAAGGGGAAATATATATAGAGAGAGAGGAGTTTATTGCTTTGGGATGGAGTCTAGGGAGAAAGAAAGAGGGAGATCCCAGGTGAAGAAATATTCTCAGGAAACAAACGATCTTCTAAGAACAGTGACATGAAATTTGTCAACATCTGGTCTTTCTCTCTTTTTTTTAATTCTCTGTTTGCTCTTCTTCACATCTTTCTCCCACATTTCTTTCATTTCTAAAAATACATTTTTTTTATATAATTTTCTCTCCTCTTTGGGTTTTTTGAGGAACTACAAAAGAAATGAGCATTTCTAGATTCTCTCCACCTTCCTTGCTTTTTGGTACAAGATATTTAACCCCCCATTATAATATAAACCCCATGATTCATTAAAGTCTAAAATACTAAAAAAAAGAATAAATCAGGTAAATTTCAAATGGGTAACTTTTTTGAGATAATTTTCATTTTTAGTCAGTGTTAATTGGGTGATAGTTAATACTACAAGTCTACAACATCAATAAGTGGGTCCCCCTGGTACTATGAAGGATGAGTTTTCTTAAGGTTTAAGAGAGAGAAGACAGTTTGATTATTCAGAACCAGACATAACTACAAAATTAGCTCTTTTTATAATTTTATTTTCGATTACTGACATAGTCTTTGTTGATTTTGATTGGTCGATCATCTGTTCCCCTTTACCATCAAACAAAGGTTGTTTATTATTAAAAGGGATAAAGCAACTTTTAGTCCCTGAATTTGGGATTTTTTCCCTCTCAGCTTTTTCCGGTACACATTAGTCCTTTGGCTTGGAAAATTTTCTTATTTTTAGTTCTTTTTGATGATGCAACACTCTCTACACATTATCAAAATGATAAAAAAAAATTATAAGTTCAAGATTAATATGAGCTGCACGTACCGAGCGACCTCAGTGGTAAAAGAATTGTTGTCATTCCTTGAGGTATTGGGTTCGAACATCATGAATGTCAGGGGTGTGAGCATTCAATGTCAAATGGTTCAGAGTTATCTTTGATCAGATACTACATTTTACTTATCCTAGATTAATTAAAAAAAGGATTAATATGGGCTAAAAAAGTTCAAAGGCTAAGTTGAGAATCTTTTACAAGTTGAAGGACTAAAATTTATTTTATCTTTTAATAAAATAATTTTTATAAGGCCATATTTTGCTTCTAGTCCTTGGACTATGTGCTAAGTTATAGGTTTAGCCCTCGATTATCTAATTTGATAATAAATTTTTTTAATCTTAATACTTTGTGAAGTTTGAAAATTTTGTCTATCCCGAACGGGGAATTTAGGGGTGTAAATGAGAGTGTATTCACAAGATATTCGAGTTTTACTTGAAAAAAACGAATTCAATTAAGCATAGTTTGAATCAAATTCAAACATCAAAATATTCGATCCGAACAACTCGTAAGCCTAATCAAAATTTTAATCAATATATATTTAAAATATTTTTATACTATTGAATTACACAAATATCTTATATTTTACGTGTAAAATACACTTAATTTGAGCTCAATCTTAAATACAAATGAGATTAATTAAGCTCGATTAATTGATTTTAAGCAAAAATTTCAGTAATTGAACTTGAATTCGAGTCGAGTATTGAGCTTCGATTATTGAGTCAAGCTTGAGCTATCCATTATTTGGCCTCCGCTCAATTCGATCACAACCCTAACGGTGACCATTAAATATGTCGTCTCGTTCTACTATTATTCTTTATATTATATGCATAATTTGCAATTTAATTGGATCATTTTTAGCTACATTATCCCTGTATTATTCGAATCACGACTAAAATATTAGAATTTAAAAAGTATAAAGATTAAAAGTTATTAAACTATAGTATAGAGATAAAATCATTATCTTCTACATAATATAAGGACTAATGACAAATTTGTCCAAAAACAAGAGTGAAGGGCTGTAAAATCTTAAAACCTAAGACGTGGCTTCTGTTTGAGATCATCATGGGATCAGGTGGCCAAGAATAAGAGAGAGAGAGAGAGAGAGAGAGAGAGAGAAGTCGGTCAATTCTTAGAATTTTTATAAACAAACAAATTTTTTAAAAATAATGATTAAAAAATCGTAAAAAAATAATGATTAAATAAAGTTTGATTATTTCGTGGGCCTTTTCCCCCTTTTGTAAGTGGTTCTAAATATTACTACGTTGTCAATAATATTAAAAATATCGTATATGATTTTATAATGTTAGGAAATAATAAATTTTAAGTAAAATATTATAAATTAAATATTTATTTATATATAACAAAAACAAAAATCAATAACTTTTATGTTATTTTAACTAGGGATGGGCATGGGTCGGGTTTCAGCCAACCCGAACATACTCGAAAATTTTACATCCTTCACCCAACCCGATCGGCCCGAAAAATATACACCTTCCACCTAATCCGAATTCGATCCGACTTACTGAGATAAAATCTGAACCCGATCCGATTGACCCAAAATAATAAAAATAGTGATTTAATTGAAAAAAATAATATATAGGGGTATTATTGTATTTATTCCTAAATATATAAAGTAAAATTATATTTTTTTCTCGAGTCGGATCGGATATTTTTCACCCTAAACCAGAATCCGAACCAAACCCAATTTTTTTTTTAAAAAAACCCGGACCTGACCGGTTCAAGTCGGGTCGGAACAATCAGATATGGGTCTCATTCCTATCCCTAATTTAAAACGATACTAAAATGAGCATCATAAAAGTAATAATGAATATTTATCGTTGTTAATATTTGATAAAAATAAATAAAGTTAAAATGATCGCTTTTATAACAAATATATATAATATTTAGTATAAATTAATTAATTAATAATATAATATAAATATTAAAAAAGGTAAAGTACGTAAATGGTCACCGACTATAGGATAATATTTTATTGAGTCCCTTCACTATTAAATGTTACAAAATGGTCCCTTGGCTATAGGGAGTTACTTTATTGAGTCTATTGACTATTAAAAGTTACAAAATGATCGCTCGACTATTCATTATGTTCCAAACTCATAATTTTTCATTAAAAATTAATGGTCGTATGAGTTTGACATTAACATGGTGAGTGAGATATGATGGTCATTTGAGATTATGTGGTCATATTTTATCATATTTCAATCAATATGTTAACGTACAACTTAGGTTGTCATCAAAATTTTAACGAAAAATGATAAGTTTAGAACATAATGAATAGTCGGGGTGACAATTTTGTAACTTTCAATAGTTGAAAGACTCAACAAAGCAGCTCTCTACAGTCGCAAGACCATTTTGTAAGATTTAATGGTCAATGGACTCAATAAAAGTATTATTCTTTTGTCAGGGACCATTTGTGTACTTTACCCTCAAAAACTGTCAAATGTTTCAACCTGCTTTATTTCTTTTCCTTTTGACTTTGTTACTCTAAACCGACTTCGTTTGCATCGAAGAGCTGGATTATGCATAATTTATGAAGGTAAATTTACTTGGAACGTACATTATGAATACGATATATGAAAAAGAAAATGGGACTTATCAAAATTATGCAGATTATGTATGGACCAATCAGAAATTATACCAAAATAAATATTTTAAATTATTCTACTTTTCAAAGTAAATCCTTATTGCTTAATTAATAGAAAACCTTTGTATTTTTTGATATTATATTTTATTCATTGATTTCGAAATCATTATCACTTAATGAAGGTTGATGAACTTTATTTATTTTCCATTTGCATTCAAACAAATCATTATTCAAGTAAATACTTTGGCTAATGTTCAAATTGGGACCAACTCTTTCTCATAAAAAGGTCAAACATTTCAAAATAGTCTAATAATGATTAAATCTTTTTGAATGTGTCCTCGAATAAATTCTCTTCAAGTATTCAATACTTTTGAAATTGTTTGAACGCTTTAAAAGACTAGCCATCATATCAATAACCCCTAAAATTTTGGCTCGTGTTTAAGTACTCGATATAAAATTTATTTTATTAAGGGTTTAGCTTGAAGAATATTTAAAATGATTTCTTGATTTATTTTGGATGAAATTAAGAGTATAAAAATTAAGGGTAAAGTACACAAATGGTTCCCCGACTATAGGATATTATTTTATTGAGACACTCGACTGTCAGAAGTTACAAAATGGTCCCCTGATTATACGATGTTGCTTTGTTGAGTCCGTCGACTATTAAAAGTTACGAAATGGTCGCATGACTATTCATTATGTTCCAAACTCGTCATTTTCCAATAAAAGATTGACGGCGATTTGAGTTGGATTTTAATTTGTTGTATGAGATATGATAGTCGTTTTAGATTCTGATATCAGATTTACCATATCTCAGACAGTAGGTTAACATTCATCTCAGGCTGTTGTCGGTTTTTTTAACAGAAAAAGATGAATTTGGAATATAAGGAATAGTACAATGACCATTTTGTAACTTTTAATAGTCGAGAGACTCAACAAAGTAACATCATATAGTTAGGGGACTATTTTGTAACTTTTAATAATCGATGGACTTAATAAAGTAATATATGTATAGTCGGGGGACCATTTGTGTACTTTACCCTGTAGTTGAGATTCTGATATCAGATTTTATCATATTTCAGATAGTATGTTAACATTTATCTCAAGTTGTCGTCGATTTTTATAACAGAAAAAAGACGAATTTGGAATATAAGGAATAGTACAATGACCATTTTGTAACTTTTAATATTCGAGAGAGTCGACATAGCAACATCATATATTTAGGGGACTATTTTGTAACTTATGATAGTCATGGGACTCAATAAATCAACACATTATAGTCGACGGACAATCTGTGTACTTTATCCAAAAATTAATTTTCATGTAAACGAGGACGTTAATTATAGGGTAAAGTACACAAATGGTCCCCCAACTATATGGTATTGCTTTATTAAGTCCGTCGACTATTAAAAGTTACAAAATGATCATCCAACTATAGAATGTTACTTTATTCAGTCCATCTATTATTAAAAGATACAAAATGATCACCCGACTATTCATTATGTTCAAAATCGTCCTTTTATGTTAAAAAATTGATGGTATTCTGAGCTGAACGTTAACATGCAGATTATGATATGATAAAATATGATTTTATAATCTCAAACAACTATCATATCACACTCATCATGTTAACGTTTAGCTTAGACAATTGTCAATTTTTAATGAAAAATGAAGAGTTTGGAACATAATAAATAGTTTAATGACTATTTTGTAATTTCAATAGTCGAGGGACCTAATAAAACAATGGTCTATAGTCAGAGGACTATTTTGTAACTTTTAATAGTTAAGATACTTAATAAAGTAATACCTTATAGTCGGAGGACCGTCTGTGTACTTTATCCTTAAATATATTATTAAATACTTGGTCACATAGGCATTAATTACAGTTAAATCGTGATTTTATTAACCTGAGGTATCAATTAGGCAAGAAGTAATTAAAAGTTGCATTTTTATGATCTCTTTCTCCCAATCAATTATTACTTGGTGGGTTCTAGGTGTAGTTGCCATGACAAATCAAGAAGATCGGACGTGATAAATGTGGCCCATCTCCTTATCAGCTTTTCAACAGGTCATATGAAAGGTTTTATTCATGATCTAGTCCCTCGAACTTTTCTTCTTGTTTTTATTATGTTAATTCGTAATTTTCATTTTGTTTTCGGACATTTAATAAGAACGGATCACGAGCAAATATATTTGGCTGATTGTTCAAGTTGTTCATCTTCTTTCTCTCATATTCTCTTATGTTATGTGTTCTAGACTCACTACGAGCATTCCTTTCTTTTCACTACGAGCATTCCATTCCAAGGTTAAGATTAAATTTTAAAATTGTAAAAAAAAAGGGATCACATGTCATATTTTTATTAATAGCTATTTTTAATAAATCGTGACGAATAGGGACGAAATCAAGAAGTTTGTAAAGAAGTTTAGATAAAATTATAAATTTGTGTGGCCAAATCTAAAAAGAAGCTGTGTTAAAAGAGTTAAATCGAATTATTAATTCTTAAGAGATGATAAAAACAAAAAGTCTTTATTTAATCAGAAATCTGAAATGGCTCACTGATAGATATATAAATATTTTTTAGGGAGCACAAATATCTATTAACAATATTTTTTTAATGAGTGAGCATAAATAAAGTTTTATGATGGAAACTATCATTAAAATGAGTCACTGATCGAAAAAAAAATCAGATTTTAAGATTGATACAATAAAATTTTAAAATAAATATCATCAATAAAATAAATAATTAATTAAAAAATATCTTAATTTTAAGACGAACATATGACCATCCTCAACCATAACCCAACCATAAGTGCAGCCGCCACGGGAATGACTTGTTGAATAATTAAATTTTTATGACGGACAAAAGACACTACAATTGTTTGAACATACATTTTCAAATTATTTAAAAATATAGTTAGAAATTATAAAATAGTAACGAATTAAAGGCTGGATCTATTCCCCCTAGAGATGCTTTTGTAAAATATTGCTTCCGTACAAGCGAGTCAACTCAAAGCCGACCGATTTACACTTTTTCCAACCCTACGCAAGAGGTAGCAAAGTAAATGAATGATTTTGATTTCCACGAATTCCAAGGAGACGAGCTTCATAATTTAGAGGCCATCGCGTTCACTTTTCCCCGGCTTTTCCGATAAAGTGAGTCGGAAAAAATGATTTATGTCATCTTCCACCCTCCTTAATTTACGTAATTATTACTACAAAATAATCATAAAATGATTTTATAATTTATTTATATTTTAAAATGCATTTATAATTTAAAATTATTTTATAATGATTTGATAAATTTTATACCTATGTGAACCTCAAAGGTGTTGGGCTTCTCTGTTATACCTTATTAGTTTTGTTGAGTGGGAGCTCTTCGAGACCCTGAAATTCAAGGCCAATTATGGTACCATTGACTATTTGAGCCGATATTACTAAATGGTTTCAACTCGAATACAACCTAATGGCACGAACAGATTTATATTAGTAGTTAGAGGAATCATTGTTATTCTTAAAAATTACAAATTCGAGTATTAACAATTACAGCATGATAATTGCACGTTTATTGTCGAAATAATTGATAATATTTAAAATAAATACTATTTTATAATCTACTTAACTTAATAAAAAAATACAACCCCAATAAAATTACCATTATGACCGGAACCACCACAAGTTTTAACAGATGGAGATATTAATCATATTTTTAACCCTATCTAGTGTTACTTGAAAGTTTCACCTATTTGGGTTTAGTTGGGTTGGACCAAATTAAGATTTGACGTTAAATGCGGTGTTTTTAGAAAATTATATTGTAAATTTAGAAATATAAAATTATATCATCGATAATAAAAAGTATAAATAAATATTTAAATTATATAAAATTTATAAATTTTATGAGATACGTTCATCTCCAATCACAGATTGATCGAGGAGATAGGTGGGAGCAACCGTCTCTAATTTTTCTAATCATACTAGTATTTAGAGCGGTGGTTACGGGACGAACATAAATTTTATGTTAGGGTGAATTTGAGTTTTTAAAAAATAAATCTGAATTTATAAAAGTTCAACTGACGAAAATAAATTTTTAGTAAAAAATATTAGAACACATCTGAAATACGTAATAATTTTAAATCTTTAGGGGTGACTATTTCTACCCGCCACTCCTTCGATCCATCTCGGAGTGGCTGGCTCAATATAGTGCTGCCACATGTTCTTGCTCCAAGGTTTTGGAGCCTTAGATCTCCTCATGCAACGAGTTTAAGCCTTTGGTTATAATCCGGTCCAACACAACCACTTAATTGGATGACTTAAATATACGAAATATGTTCAACTTATGTTTATTTTTGTAGTTTATTTTGTTTTAATTTGGTGTCTAACGTTTCATTTCGTTACTCATTTAGGTGTATGAGCCATCAACGACGTTAATTTCATCGTTAAGTGAAATGTGTCACAATCTCAAAATTTTAAAAAAATTATTTAAAACAAAAAAAAAAAAATTATTTTTGAAAAACCTAAAACTTTGAAAACATTCATTTCAACCCCTAAAACCACGCCAACCGTCGCCTTTTGTCATCGATGAAGCTCAACACGACCTCCCCTCCCCTCCCCTCGATGACCAAACCCCCCATAAAATCATGATTGATCGACGACCTATCGATGACGAATCAACGTTTTATACCCCGCGAATCCTAAGATGAAAATCACGATCCCACGCGATTCCGAATTCGATCGACCGTCGATCGGGCACAATTTCATGGGAGGTTTTGGTTACCGAGGGGAGGTCGTGTGGAGCTTCTTCGATGACAAAAGGTGATGACTGGCGTGATTTTAGGGGTTGGAATGAAGGTTTTCAAAGTTTATTGTTTATTTCAAAATTTAGATACCTAATTGCACCAAAATAGTTGCGGTACCCAATTGCACATCAATGCAAAAGTTACCTACCATGCCAATGATAACAAGTTAACCAACAAAGCAGGAGCCAGAATCTAGCTGCCTGAAGGAAGCTTTGCTATGTATTTGTCCAGTTTTACGTTCCTCACCCGAAAAAGAGGTCAGTTAAATTCACTTCCTTTACTCTTCTCCTTCTGTGACCAGTTGAAGAGTACAAAATTAGATTATTTTGCCTGAAAAATCCCCAACTTCCAACAACAATCTTCTTCAATCAGATCTAAATCTTTCGATTTTCTCTCCTGTTCCCTGGTCTAAACTCCTCTTGAAGATTTTGTCGAAGACGAGTGAGGTTTTCGAAGGTTATGAACGACAGTATGCGAACTCTCCGCATCTTTCCCGGAAATGTGACTCTGCTTCTGTTATTCAACATTCAGGTGTTTTCCTTCTATGAATCGGTCCATTTCGATTCTCCCCAAAAAGGGTAATTTTTTAATACGTTTTCTTTATGGTTCGATAACCTTTTGCAGAACAGAAGAAACAAAAGTTTTCCGAGATAAGTTCTGGGATTGATGAGGCTGATGTCCTGGTACCGTGTTGTTTAATTATTTAATTTTTTCTGGGTTGTTAGTTTTCTGATGTTGATTTGGGTTTTGTTTTTGATTGGTAGATTCGGAAAATGGACCTGGAAGCAAGGAGTTTGCAACCAGGGGTTAAGGCAACCTTACTTGCAAAATTAAGGGAATATAAAGCTGATTTGAATAAATTGAAGAAGGAATTCAAGAGAATTGCTTCACCCGATGCTCATGATGAGTTGTTGGAATCAGGAATGGCTGATGTCCACTCGGTAATTTTTGGATCTTTTAAGGATGTTTGAGGAATGATTATTTGCTTTTAACTCTATGCTATCTGCTGACTATTCTTGTTGCACCATGTCTTCTGCAATCGGATTCGGGTGAGGGTGTGATATGAGTACGTGTTTGAAGGGTTATTTTCCCATTCCCATATCATATCCGAAAACAAAGAGTCGAGGTAACGTAGCTTAACGATTCTCCGATGAATTGATCTTGAGGGGAAATGGTGAGCCTTGGTGTAATTATATAAGGTCGTTTCATATTTCATTATGATTTTGTAGGGTTGTTGTTTTTGTAAGTTGGGGGAAGGTAGAATTTGATGGATGGATTTGTTTATAATTCGGAATTATGTGCATTGTTCATGTAACACCCTTAACTCGTACCCGACCCGAGTCCGAGATGTGACATTACCTTTTTAAAATAATTTTCCTTATAAAATAACAAAATATTTGAACTTATTTTAGGAAAATAAGATAATATATTATTAAATTATATTCAGTATAAAATTTTGAGGTAAAAAAAATGTATTTACGAACAATAAAATACGTATAAACAATAATCTGCTACCGTGAACAGTAACCTGCTACAGTACCCGAAATGTTAAATTTTCCAGTTTACAAACAGGGAATCGGTTCCCTGTAGCGGGGAACCGATTCCCCTGCTACAGTACTGCTACAGTACTTCCGTAAAAATGTACATAAAATTCGTAAAAAATCAACCGTTCATTACTATACACTTACATAATTACATTCAAAACATTAGAAAAGTCGATCAGAGTGTTCGTAACTAACAACTTATTACATGCCAACATACTTTATACAACTAAAATACATACTTTGTTGTTTACTTCTGATTTGATCCCCTAATGATGGTATGCTGCGTTGCTGCTCTTAAGATCGATCTTCTTACTTTTCTGTACCTACGTGTAAATCACTTACACACTAAGTCATAGACTTAGTGAGGCATATAAATATAATGATGATGTATTCCTTATAAATATGAACATGTGATCTATCCATTCAATGATCTAACATATAACAATAATAATGCAATTACCTTTGATAACATTCTATAAGCCCATGTACATTACTGAGAACTCAAGGTATTCGAGTACAATGAGGTTGTGCACTATTTCTGTCACTACAGCTCGTATAAGTCCCACTGAGTGGCATATGAAATTTGTCCCGAAGGACCTATGAGTTGTCCCGAAGGACCTATGAAACCCTCGACTCTTGGCATGCCAACTATACCTATAGCTCTCATATCGTATACTATGTGCATCATTCTTATATTTCATATGTTCATGTGCTCATGTCACTTATCATATCACATATACATTTGAATTTATTCACATATATATCAAATCATATGAGCATATATACCTTATGCATGTATCATAATAATTATCATGTATGCATGTTCATAATTATTGTTCTATAAAAATCAACACAGGATTAGACTTATCACAAGTCTTATTCCATTGTACTACCCTTAAAATAGGCACTCACCTTGGCCTCGCTTTCGTTGTTTCAATCCTAACTCTTCGATTGTTCCGGAATAGATTACGTTTTATATCTACATAAACATAATTTTCAAGATATTTATCAGAAGCCTAACCCTTGTAATTTGATACTAACAACTTAAACTAATTTAATAAACCAAACTTCAACATTTTCTTTTATAATCTAAAATTTTACTGTTCAAACCCGAAGATCATCAACTCTTCACTAAATTTCTCAGACAAGGTTCCTTTCATACCACCAAACTTAACTACAACCATTTTAATTAACTTCTATCAATTCCAATACTTTAAAATCTCCCATGCTTCATTCAAATTCTCAAAGCTAAAAATCATACCCAATTTTCAACATGTTTTAAATCCAATTCTAACACTCCATATTCCTTAATTAACTTCTTGACAAGTCAAAAATCTTATTCTAACTTCAAAAACTCATCCATATCAAAATTTCATCTAAAAACCCATTTTCCAAATCTATCTCTAAAACACTTATCTTGTTGTCTTAATGTCATATAAGCTTTCCTTTAGCTTATATAACATCCAAACTTCAATTTCCAAGCTAAAAATCAAAGAAACGACCAAGGTTCTGATTCTTACCTTAAGCTTGGGTCTTCACGTTTGGAAGAAGAGAAGAGTGAAGAAGATAAGAAAGAATGAAGAAGAGATGAGAGAAATCTGGAAACATTTGTTTCCTACTCAAGCCCCACGTGGGTTATAATATAACCCCATCAAAATTCTTAATTATAAATTTTCCTTGCAAATGACCAGTTTGTCCTTTAATTCATTTCATATTTACTAACAATTATTTTTAAACTATTTAATTATTCTACTTTAATCACCAAATTCTGAATTTTTACAATTTAGTCACTAACCCGTTATTTGGGATATTACAAATCTCTCCCCCTTAAGAAAATTCGGCATTGAATTATTATTGCACGAACAAATAGGGGTATTGATGTCGCATATCTTCTTCACGTTCCCACGTTGCTTCTTTTACTTTATGATTTCTCCATAGCACTTTGACCAAAGGAATAGTCTTATTCCTTAGTTGTTTCACTTCGTGAGCTAATATTTGAACAGTTCTTCCTCATAAGTCAAGTCAGGTCGAACCTCAATCTCTTCTGGTGTCACGATATGAGAAGGATCAGATCTATATCTTCGAAGCATTGAAACGTGAAAGACATCATGTATCTTTTCCATCTCAGGTGGTAAAGCTAGCTGATATGCTACAGGTCCTACTCTCTTTACAATCTCGTATGGTCCAACTCAATTTTCCTTTTTGACCAAACCCCAACACCTTCTTCTATGGAGACACTTTTAAAAACACTTTATCTCCGACTTGAAACTCAATTTCTTTCCTTTTTAGATCTGCATATGATTTTTGTCTGTCTGCTGCAGTTTTTAGATTACTCTGAATTATTTGGACCTTTTCTTCTACTTCCTGAATCAACTCAGGACCAAGCACTTCTTTATCTTTGAGCTCGTACCAGTTCAAAGGCGTACGACACTTTCTTCCGTAAAGAGCTTCATAGGGAACCATTTTAATACTCGACTGATAACTGTTGTTGTAAGCGAATTCAGCAAGTGGCAAATATTTTTCCCATGATCCTTTGAATTCAATTACACAAGCTCTTAACATGTCCTCTAAAATTTGAATAGTCCGTTCGGATTATCCATCGGTCTGAGGATGAAACGATGTGCTGAAATTTAATCGAGTTCTCAATGCTCCATGCAATGACTTCCAAAATCTTGATGTAAATCGAGGATCTCGATCAGAAATTATAGAAACAGGTACACCATGCAATCGTATAATCTCTTGGATGTACAACTCAGCATACTTATCTATGGAGAAATTAGTTCATACCGGAATAAAATGGGCTGACTTAGTCAACATATCTATAATCACCCAAATTGAATCTCTTTTGTTTGGAGTTACAGGTAATCCCGTTACAAAATCCATCGTTATGTTATCCCATTTCCACTGAGGAATCGTCATTGGTTGCAATAATCCTGACGGAACCTGATGCTCAGCTTTGACTTGTTGACAAGTCAAACATTTGGACACAAATTCTGTAATGTCTTTCTTCATTCCTGGCCACCAATATCGACTCTTGAGGTCCATATACATTTTGTTTCCTCTTGGGTGCATCGTTAATGGACTACAGTGAGCTTCCATTAATACATCATTCTTTAACTCATCATCATTTGGAATTACTATCCTCCCTTGATAATATAGGTTCCCATCAGCTTTCATCTCATAATCTGTACACTCTCCATTCCTTATTTGTTGTAGCTTCTTTGAACACTTTTCATCCCTAGCTTGCAATTCTTTAATTCTATCTAGCCATGATGGCTTGAGAGTCAATTCAGCACAAATAACACTATCTTCACTTAATGATAATCTAGCATCCATAGCTCGTAGAACTGCAAATGTCTTTCGATTTAAAGCATCCGCTACCACATTTGCTTTTCCCGGATGGAAATCGATCACAACATCATAATCCTTGAGAAATTCCACCCATCTTCTCTGTCTTAAATTCAACTCTTTCTGAGTCATCAAGTACTTTAAACTCTTGTGATCTGTATATAAATAACATCTTTCACCATACAAGTAGTGACGCCAAATCTTAAGAGCAAATACTACTGCAGTCATCTCCAAATCGTGCGTTGGATAATTTTTCTCATGTGACTTCAATTGTCTTGACGTATATGCCACCACTTTGCCTTCTTGCATCAACACATCCCAAGCCATTATGAGACGCATCACTATAAACCACAAAATTCTTGTCAGACTCAGGTTGAACCAACACAGGAGCTTCTGTCAAAATCTTCTTTAACTTTTCAAAACTTTCCTGACATTCTGGAGTCCAAGCAAATTTTACCTCTTTCCTCAATAACTTGGTTAGGGGTAATGCTATTATCGAAAATTTTTTAACGAATCTTCGATAATAACCAGCTAACCCCAGAAAACTCCGGACTTCTGACACATTCTTCGGAACTTCCCATTCTAAAATAGCTTTAATCTTTTGGGGATCCACTCGAATTCCTTATGCAGAAATCACATGTCCAAGGAAAGTCACTTCCTTCAACCAGAATTCACATTTGAAGAGTTTGGCATAAAGCTTCTTTTCTCTCAAAATCTGTAACACCTTCTTCAAGTGTGAACTATGTTCTTCTTTGGACTTTGAATACACGAGAATATTGTCAATAAATACCACCACAAATTGATCCAAATAGGGTTGGAATATTCTATTCATGAGATCCATGAAAGCAGCTGGTGCATTAGTAACTCCAAACGGCATCACAATAAACTCATAGTGACCATATCTCGTTCTAAATGCCGTCTTTGGGATATATTTGTCTTGAATCTTTAATTGATGATAACCAGAACGTAAATCAATTTTCGAGAACACTGAAGCTCCTTTTAATTGATCAAACAGATCGTCAATTCGGGGAAGTGGATATTTGTTCTTGATGGTCACCTTATTAAGCTGTCTATAATCAATGCAAAGACGCATTGATCCATCATTCTTTTTGACGAATAACACCGGAGCTCCCCACGGTGAGACACTTGGTCTTATAAATCCTTTATCTAACAACTCCTTTAACTGTATCTTTAATTCTTGCAATTCTTTTGGAGCCATTTTTTATGGAGCCATAGTAATAGGCGCAGTTCCAGGCATTATTTCAATCTGGAATTATACCTCTCTGTTTGGAGGCAAACCTGGTAATTCTGCAGGAAATATATCGGGAAACTCTGTGACTATAGGAATTTCTTCAATTCTTTTCTCATTGGTTATAATATCCAACACATTAGCAATGAACCCTTGACAAACCTGTAGCAGTAACTTCTTGGTCGTTATCGCGGAGATTACATTTGCCAATGGATTCCACCCTTCACTAAGCACCATGACTTCTACCCCTTCCGGACTTTTCAACGTTACTCTTTTCAATCTACAATCCACATTCCCATAATAACGAAACAACCAATCCATTCCAGTATCACTTCAAATTCATCGAATGGTAATTCCATCAAATTAGCAGGGAATTCAATTTCTTGAATCCGTATGGGACATCCTCGACATACCAAATTCACACTAGCACTATGCCCTAATGGATTTGTCACTATTACTTCATTATTAGTGGCTTCTAGCGGAATGTTCAGTTCTCTAACTAACTTGCTACTAATGTATGAGTATATAGACCCCGGATCAATCAATACCATAACATGTTTATCAAACAGTAAAAAGGTACCTGTTATTACTCTGGATCATCCCGGTCTTCATTGGTTTTGAGATTATACACCCGAGCAGTAGAGCGAACTTCCTGCTGAGTAGAGGATTCATGTTGAGTTCTACCTCTTCCTCTACCCCGTCCCCTCTGGGACATTGAAGCAGACCTCTCCTGTGGAACAAACTCTTCTACCCTCAAATGACAGTCTCTCATAAAATGTCCTATTTCCCCACATCGAAAACAAGCTCATGTTTTAACTCTGCATATTCCACTATGGTTTCTTCCACAGATCTGACACTGCCCAACTTGACTCTGTTGTGCTCGCCCATCACCAGTCCCCACAGATTGAGTTCGTCTAGCTTTTTCCTGATTCGATCCTCTAGCAGAGGATGCCACTGATTCATATCTTGTTTGATATCGAAAACCAAAATCTCTACCTCTCTTTGGTAGTGTAGAGCTTGATGAAGCTCCAGTTCTTTTGGATGGTAGAGCTCTCTGCTCCCCAAACCGTTCATTCTGCGCTCTCTCTAGAGCTTTAGCACGATTTACTACTTCTTGGAATGAGGACAGATTCAATACAATCAACATTTCTTTTAGCCTTGGACGCAAGCCCTCAACAAACCACTCACATGAATCTTTCTCTGTAGGCACCAACTCTGCTACAAAGCGACTTAACTTATTAAATTCGCACTCATACTCATATACAGTGCGACTCATTTGTTTCAAATTTAAAAATTCTTGCTTCATTTGCTTGATGAATTGGTCTCCTATATACTTATGCCGAAGCTCTTCCAGGAATAGAGACCATGTCACTTGATCACTGGTCATCCTCAAAGTGACATTTGTCCACCAAATTCTCGCTTGCCCACGAAGCAAAGAGACCACCCCGTCCAACTTCTCCACATCAGAACAGTGGAGTCCTTCTAACATAATTTTCACATCATTAAGCCAAAGGTCCGCAGCAACAGGACCTTCCTCGGCTTCACCTTTAAACTCTGGAGCTCCTAAACCCTTCAACTCCTTTGCAACATTCATTTTTAGAGTTGAAGTAACAGGAGGTTGAAAACGCATCAATACTGCATCTAACGTTCTAAAGAACATATCTTGATCAGCTACAGGCACTCTAGAAGGAGTCTGTTCTTCACCTTGCCTGGCCAGGGCAGGTGAATTACTACTTTCAGCGGGTTGATCATCTCCCGCTTGACTTCGAGAACTATCATGTCCGGACATCTATTAAAAATAAACATATCATTCTATTAGCAAAACAACATACTCATTACCATACCAGATCAGAAGTTTTAACTAGTTTGTTGGCATGTATACATTATAAAACACTATAGACTCCGGTTTATGCCGAGAATCGACTAAACCTTGCTCTGATGCCATTAAATGTAACACCCCTAACCCGTATCCGACCCGAGTACGAGTCCGAGATGTGACATTATCTTTGTAAAATAATTTTCCTTATAAAATAACAAAATATTTGAACTTATTTTAGGAGTAGGAAAATAAGATAATATATTTTTAAATTATATTCAGTATAAAATTTTGAGGTAAAAAAAAATGTATTTGCGAACAATAAAATACATATAAACAATAATCTGCTACAGTACCGTGAACAGTAATCTACTACAGTACCCGAAATGTTAAATTTTCCAGTTTACAAATAGGGAATCGATTCCCCGTAGCAGGGGAATCGATTCCCCTGCTACAGTACTGCTACAGTACTTCCGTAAAAATATATATAAAATTTGTAAAAATTCAACCGTTCATTACTATACACTTACATAATTATATTCAAAACATTAGAAAAGTCGATCAGAGTGTTCGTAACTAACAACTTATTACATGCCAACATACTTTATACAACTAAAATACATACTTTGTTGTTTACTTCTGATTTGATCCCCTAATGATGGTATGTTGCGTTGCTGCTCTTAAGATCGATCTTCTTACTTTTCTGTACCTACATGTAAATCACTTACACGCTAAGTCATAGACTTAGTGAGGCATATAAATATATAATGATGATGTATTCCTTATAAATATGAACATGTGATCTATCCATTCAATGATTTAACATATAACAATAATAATGCAATTACCTTTGATAACATTCTATAAGCCCATGTACATTACTAAGAACTCAAGGTATTCGAGTACATTGAGGTTGTGCACTATTGCTGTCACTACAGCTCGTATAAGTCCCACTGAGTGGCATATAAAAATTTGTCCCGAAGGACCTGTGAATATGTCCTGAAGGACCTATGAGTTGTCCCGAAGGACCTATGAAACCCTCGACTCTTGGCATGCCAACTATACCTATAGCTCTCATATCGTATACTATGGGCATCATTCTTATATTTCATATGTTCATGTGCTCATGTCACTTATCATATCACATATACATTTGAATTTATTCACATATATCATTTATCAAATCATATGAGCATATATACCTTATGCATGTATCATAATAATTATCATGTATGCATGTTCATAACTATTGTTCTATAAAAATCAACATAGGATTAGACTTATCACAAGTCTTATTCCATTATACTACCCTTAAAATAGGCACTCACCTTGGCCTCGCTTTCGTTGTTTCAATCCTAACTCTTCGATTGTTCCGGAATAGAATTACGTTTTATATCTACATAAACATAATTTTCAAGATATTTATCAGAAGCCTAACCCTTGTAATTTGATACTAACAACTTAAACTAATTTAATAAACCAAACTTCAACATTTTCTTTTAGGGGGAATCGATTCCCCCCAGGGGGTATCGGTTCCCTCTGCATAATCTGAAATTTTACTGTTCAAACCCGAAGATCATCAACTCTTCACTAAATTTCTCAGACAAGGTTCCTTTCATACCACCAAACTTAACTACAACCATTTTAATTAACTTCTATCAATTCCAATACTTTAAAATCTCCCATGCTTCATTCAAATTCTCAAAGCTAAAAATCATACCCAATTTTCAACATGTTTTAAATCCAATTCTAACACTCCATATTCCTTAATTAACTTCTTGACAAGTCAAAAATCTTATTCTAACTTCAAAAAACTCATCCATATCAAAATTTCATCTAAAAACCCATTTTCCAAATCTATCTCTAAAACACTTATCTTGTTGTCTTAATGTCATATAAGCTTTCCTTTAGCTTATATAACATCCAAACTTCAATTTCCAAGCTAAAAATCAAAGAAACGACCAAGGTTCTGATTCTTACCTTAAGCTTGGGTCTTCACGTTTGGAAGAAGAGAAGAGTGAAGAAGATAAGAAAGAATGAAGAAGAGATGAGAGAAATCTGGAAACATTTGTTTCCTACTCAAGCCCCACGTGGGTTATAATATAACCCCATCAAAATTCTTAATTATAAATTTTCCTTGCAAATGACCAGTTTGTCCTTTAATTCATTTCATATTTACTAACAATTATTTTTAAACTATTTAATTATTCTACTTTAATCACCAAAATTCTGAATTTTTACAATTTAGTCACTAACCCGTTATTTGGGATATTACAGTTCATGCCTTCTCATGTCAAATGTTTTCACCTTATCCGTGCCTGTTGTATTTGTTACTCGGCTTCGATGTTGAGTATCCAAAATGGGTGTGTTTCAGCATGAATATGTTCAAATTTTCCATCTTAAGTTATTCCTTGTATTTGGAGGATCATATATTGGACACGAATGTCAAACACGGTGCGTTAGGAAGAAGAAAGAATTAGAGCAACGTTGTCTGTTCTTACTTTTAGCTGATGTCTTAACTTGGTAACTGAAAGTCCTGGAACCTCTTTACGATTAAGCCGAGGTCTTAATGGCATGCAGGTTTGTTATTAACCATTAAGCGACTTGGTGAAGATTTTTGTATTGAATTGTGATCAATGGTACAGGTTTCTGCTGAGCAAAGGGATCGATTGTCGATGTCGGTGGAGAGACTAAATCAGTCAAGTGACAGACTTAAGGAGAGTAGAAGAACTGTTCTGGAAACAGAAGAGCTTGGTATCTCTATCCTTGAAGATTTACATCAACAGCGACAGACTCTCCTGCACGCCCATAACAAGGTCCTCCAACATAACTTCGATGACATATTGTTCTTTATCAATTATCACTGAGCTCTTGATTTCTTTCTCGTCTCTTTTTCTGTCAGTTCGGGACATGTTTGGCCAGTTGGGGTGGGGGGTCTTTTTGCTTGTCCCATTCCCGACTGAACATTCAAATATTTCATTCGATACCATTTTGAACTTTGAGCTCTAACATCCAAACCCGCCCCTGGAATGAAGAAATCGTCAATACCCTGAACCATCTTGCTTCAAAACTTAAGCTCCATTTTAAAAAAGAATTGACTACGAATTCGGATTATTTTATCAACCATATAAAGATATATATATGTCATGTCGATGCATATCAGCTTACTGGTTTTATTTATTTGTTGTCGTTTTTGCAGCTTTATGATGTGGATAGCGCCATTGACAAGAGCAAGAAAGTCTTAACAACCATGTCGCGAAGGATTACCAAGAACAAATGGATCGCTGGCTCGGTAATCGTAGCTCTCGTCCTTGCAATCATCTTAATCCTTTGTTACAAGATTTCACATCGCTGATGAAATCTTTCGGACCATTGTTCTGCAATTTGTATATGTTCATCCAAGCATTCCAGACTTCTGTCATCATGTAATGTCTCGACACTTTGTTCAAGTCTTGGTCACTTCGAATTCGAGTACGAGTGTTATTCATCGACTCGGGTACGATTTTACCGGATTTATCGATTCGGTTAAGTCGGTGTTGATTAAGTTAGTTTTAATGGTTTAATCAGTTATCAAGATGGTTAAATGTTTTATGATTTTTTAGAATTTTATAAATAAAATGTCTCAAAAGTCAAAAGTCGGAACATGTGGGGCTTCAGGAAGAAAATCCTCAAGTTAAAAAGGTCCAATTCTGTTTTGACCCTCTATCCATTGTGCTCTTGTGAAATGTAATCTTTTATTCTAGTTTGACATAATTTGGTCCCTCTATTTTTTGTAATTTTTTTATTTGATCCCAAGTGATAACATCATTAGTTGTTACTGTGAGAATGAATAACCTATTCTTTTAGTACAATCTTAACCATTTAGCTTATATGCAACTTTATTATTATACCAATATCTTTGATTAAATATTTACATGATCACTATGTTATCAAATTATGAATATATTAAAATAAAGTATAGAAACATATTAAATATTTTGATAGTTCATAAACTATACTATGGATTTCGTTAAAGTACAAAAGACAATCATATCATTATCCTATATATATATAATATCGTAAAAGTAAAAGAATTAAATTATAGTACTAAAATTAAAATAGATGATCGAATTTTAAATTTCAGTATACTATAGGGATTGAATCCATAAAACTTATTGAAAACAAAATAGACCGTATATAAGCCGACGCCGACGCGGCTCACGCGCTCACTCACCCATAGCCTCTCCTTCGGAGTAGTGGACTAGTAAGTCTTCTCCTACAATTTATATCCCAGCTGCATTTCATTTCATTTGTGATATCTCCGAAATTTCGATAAATATAAAAAATAATAACAATAACAAAGTAAATATACTTCGCAGTTCATCAGCAAGAGAACAGATCTTTGACTATGAACTCAGAAGCAAACGGCGGGGAGTCGCCGGCGCAGGGATCGAGTGGGAAAGCTAGCTCGGCATCGTCGGCGGACAAGCAAAAGGAGAAGGCGAGAGTGAGTAGAACTTCGCAGATCCTATGGCACGCTCATCAGAACGATGCAGGCGCCGTCCTTAAGCTTCTCGAGGAAGATCAATCTTTGGTTCACGCTAGGGACTATGATAACCGTACGCCTCTCCACGTCGCTTCACTCCACGGTTGGGTCGAAGTCGCCAAGTGCCTTATCCATTATGGAGCCGATGTCAACGCCCAAGATCGATGGAAGAATACGGTGTCAATTCGACTTTTCATTTTTGTTTCATTTTTCTCTCATTCTTAGGCTTTTACTGTTTCCGCAGCTTTTTTCTCTTCAACTTGAAGCTTTGTTTCTTTTTTACCCCTTTCCGTTAATTGCAGCCTTTAGCTGATGCTGAAGGAGCTAAGAAACGTGACATGGTCCAGATATTGAAATCGAATGGTGGATTATCTTACGTAAGTTCAGCATTTTTTTTACTTTGCAATTTTTCATTTTTTTAGATTTTTTTTAGCTATTTTCTTTCAACACTTGTTCTAATTTTAGAGTTCTTAAAATGCATGTTTTCTAATTTGCATTCCTTCATTGTAATGGGCTTTAACAGCATGATCAATGATTAGTTCCAGGAAGATCACTTCGCGCTTTGAATCATATTTGATCATAATAATTATGGATTACTGTTAAAGTATATCTGTATTATTTACTTATTTAGTACATTTTATACCTTTCAAACTTGGTTGTTTGCCTAAGGAAGGAATCATAGATTTAGATATAGGGGGCTTACTTGAAATTGTGGATGACCTTTTAACTTTCCAATAGCGTTCCCTAATCCCTATTTTCATAGTAATCCATCTTTAAGCATTTTTTTATAAGAATTTCAGGCCTCATTAAAAACCTCCTTCTTGATTGAAGGTGCTTGTTGATAAGCTCCTTAATCAGCGAAGGAGGAAAAGAGTGCCTTAGGATATTATTGAACAAAACAATAATATACAAGATACAACCCTAAAAGTAAAGTAAACAGACAGGTCAACACAAGGCAACCTTGTGACCCATAAACATCAACATTTAATCAACCAATTCCTTCTTTAGCTAAGGCATCAGCCTCTAAGTTAGTTGTCCTGCTTACCCATCTAACCACACCATCGAACATATTAAGCCAGTAAACAATGTCTGTAACCAAATAAGCATAAACATGAGGACATAATTCAGCCCCCTTAACCCAGTCCACTGCCATCTTGCTGTCACTTTCAATTATCAACCTGTCTTTGATCCTCGCTCGAAAATCAGCATAGAACATTAGCCCCTTTTGAATAGCTTTTAACTCCATAAATGTTGGAGGCCCCAGACCTGCAGGCTCCTTGAAAGACCCTAATGTAGTTCCAGAGGAATCTTTTAAAACTCCTCCTAAACCACTCTTCTTCCAATCCTTAGTCGTAGCTGCATCAACATTAATTTTCACAAAACCCATAGGAGGAGGATGCCACGGAATAGTAGACACAATCATATTAGAATGGGTGGAACAAACGTCCCCTAAGGAGGGGTCTGAAATGAGAGAGTCTTTAAGAATATGTACCCCTTTATTCTTCGCTAGGAACCATGAAGCAAGCCTAAACCTTGCTAAGAAGAAGAATTCAACCTCATCCAACTTCCCTCCTTCAAAAACAATTGAGTTCCTCAATTTCCAAGTAGTCCAAATAACTACCCCTGGAATGAGAGACCAAATCGGAGAATTAGTCTTCAACGCATCCCAATTCAAGAGAAAACTTTTAGCATTATAATGAAAAACAATTTGAATCTTCCAGAAGTTGAGAAATTTATTCCAAACAGCCCACACCACCGAACACGAGAAAAACAAATGTGAAGGAGACTCTCCATGCATCATGCAAAGAGGGCATAACAGATTCTGAATTCCTTATATTCCTCTTTTCACCAGTTCTGTTTTAACAGCCAACCTCCCTAGAACAACCTGCCACAAAAAGGACTCCACTTTTGGTGGTAGCCTCCAAACAATCTTACTCCAGAAGTAGGCCTCATCCGAAAATAAAGAACCTGATGAGCATAGATTGACAGCAGATTTCACAGTGAACACCCCATCCCCAGACCCTTTCCAAATCATCCCATCCGAATTATCCAAATTTAGAGCAAAAGCCGAGATGATAGTCATCAAATTAGCCCACTGCTCTATCTCCCAGTCATTTAAATTCCTGCGAAACTGCACATCCCAAATCCAGCCGAAAGAGCTATACTCCCCAAACTCAAATAATTTGTCTGTTTTGTTAATCGAAATGGAAAACAATCTAGGGAAAATTAATAGAAGTGGATAATCCAAAGCCCGAATGTCCTGCCAGAATCGAATAAATTTACCATCTCCAACTAAAAAAATACAAACTTCTTAACTTTGAGCCGATAGGGTCATCTTTAACTTGAGCCGATAGGGTATTAACCACTGATCTCCAAATCCAAGATACTCTGTTTGGAGTCTTACTATCAAACAATAACAAAGACGGGTCCAAATTATATTTAGAACAAATAAGATCCCTCCAGACAGACCCCCTTTCATTTGCAAACCTCCAAGTCCATTTTTCTAGAAGTGCTCTATTCATCAAATTTAGATTCAGCACACCCAAACCCCCCTCAATCCTTGGTCTGCATACATTCGGCCAGCTAACCCAATGGATCTTACTTTTTTCAACACTCCCTCCCCATAGGAAATTTGACATCAGTGAATTCAGGGTTTTAAGAACCGAAGCTGGTATCTTAAAAAGAGATAAATAATAAATAGGAAGCGAACATAGTACCGACTTAAGCAAGACCAGTCTCCCTGCTAATTAAAGAGAGGCAGCCTTCCATCCTGTTAATTTTTTGAAAAAATTACTGATTACAGGATTCCAGATAGCAGCAGAATTCCTAGAAGCCCCCAAAGGAAGCCCTAGATATTTAGAAGGAAAGCTTGCAACAGAACAACCAATAGTATTAGCCCACTCATTCACCTCCTCATCATTCAAATTCACACCAAAAAGCTTGCATTTCCTCAAATTGAGCTGTAAACCCGAAATAACTTGGAATACACGAAGCACCCTTTTTACATTTAGAATTTGCATTTTCGAAGCACCACTAAAGATAATGAGATCATCCGCAAACTGTAAGTGAGAAAGATTAAAAGACCCCTCTCCCCTCCCAATAACCAATCCAGAAAACAGCCCCTGTGAAACAGCCTTTAAAATCAGTAAATTAAGGAGTTCACCAATCAAATTAAATAGCAGAGGGGATAAAGAACATCCCTGCCTAAGACCCTTTGCCATAGGAATTTCCTCAGTAGGGACTCCATTAACCAGAACATATACTAAAGCTGTTGAAACACATTTTTTGATCCAGCCTCTCTACCTTGAACCAAAACCCATTTTCTCCATAACTAAAAACAGAATACTCCAATCCACTGAATCATAAGCTTTTTTGAAATCAGCTTTGAAAACACAGCCTTTGAGTCCACTTTTCCTCAAAAAATCAATTCCTTCATTAGCAATTAACGAGCAATCTAATATTTGACGGCCTGGAATAAAAGCGAATTGTGTGGGACTGATTAAATCTGAAATACAACTCCTCAACCTCCTCGAAAGACACTTGGAGAGGATCTTATATAATCCACCAACTAAGCTAATAGGTCTAAAGTCATCAAGATCGCCACTATTAGAAACCTTAGGGATAAGAGTAATAAATGTATGATTAATACCGTGTTCCCACTCTTTTCCCAAATAGAAATTATTGAAAAATTTCATAACATCTCCCTTAAGCATATTCCAGAATCTTTTAAAAAATCCCATATTTAGACCGTCTGGCCTAGGAGCTTTATTCCCATTACAAGACTCAATAGACTCCCAAATTTCCTCCTCGGTAAATTCTTTCTCTATTCTCAAACTCTGTTCGAGTGTAATACTAGAAAAATCCAGCCCAATGTCTTCCACTTGAAGAGTAAACTGATCATTGAAAGCCTTGAAAAAATGATCTCTAACTGTTGCTTTAATAACATTCGGGTCATGAACAAAATTGCCATTGACAAGAATAGCATTCAATGCATTTCTTTTCCTCCTAACTGAAGCACATGTATGAAAATATCTTGTGTTTCTGTCGCCATCTTCTACCCACTTCGATCTTGAGTTCTGGAACCAAATCTGCTCCTCTATCTTATACAGTCTCCACAGTTCTGCTCTTGATTTCTTCAACTCAAGTGCTATCTCAGAACTGTAATCAATTAGACCCTGATGAATATCCACCTCTAGCTTTTGAATTTTCGATTCAAGATCAGAAATCAAATCCCCTGGAAACTTGTCTCTCCTCCCTGCCCAATTTTTTATTGCCATTTTGGTATTCTTCAGTATGCTGAAAATTCCAGCATTCCTCTGGTTTTTCTTACAATCTCGAATTGATAAGCTGACCACATCCTCGAATCCGACTTCATCCATCAGATAATTAAAAAGTTTAAAAGGTTTCTTTCCCCAATTATCCCCACCATTTTCAATAATTACTGCATTATGGTCAGACACAGACCTGGGCAAAAGAGATTGAGTTAAATCTGGAAATTCGGCTAAGAACTGGCTATCAACCAAAAATCTGTCCAGTCTAACATAGGTTGGTGAATCTTGGTTATTACACCAAGTATATCGACCCCCACTCAATGGCAAATCAATTAAACCTGTGTTCAGCAGAAAATGACTGAAAATCTCTACTGAATTCCTATTTTGGGCCCTACCCATCTTCTCGTCCTCATGAAGATAAACATTTAGGTCCCCTCCAACACAAATAGGATCACTGTAACCTCTAATGAATATGCCTAATTCTTCAAAGAAGCCTCCTTTCTCCTCCTCAACAGACGGACCATATACATTGATGAACCTACATCTGAAATTATTTGCACGAAACCTCCCAGAAATAGCTATAAATCTACTGGAAACAAATTGATTATCCAACTCAAAAATATTGTCATTCCAGCAACTTAGTAAACCCCCTGAAGCACCAACCGAAGGAGACTCAATACACCCTTGCAAGTTGTTTAAACCACACCTTCTAGAAATAGATTTTTGAATTTTCTCCAATTTAGTTTCCTGTAACCACAAAAAATGAGGGCAGTGATGATACAGTAATCTCTGCACAGCCCTTTGCTTCTCTTTTCTACCCAACCCTCTAACATTCCAAGTCACAATAGATAACTTTAACATCATCATATAAAAAGAAAAAACCTCCCTTGATCTTCCCCGAGAAATCAACCAGCCCTGAGAAGTCAATCATTCCTAACAGTCTCCGAGCCATTATCAATACTAATAATTTTTTCAATGAACGTCTTCTTCCCTTCCTTGAAGGAAATACCTAGCAACTGACAGACTTCCCAAGTTGCCATGGCTTCCTCCACCAATTTCGAAAACTGGGGGGGAAAAGACAGTTAACATATTAACCAGGTCCACAGCTTCCCTTGTTAAAATTCTTTTTTCCCTCCTGAAATTCCTGCAAATCTGTGAAGCAGAAAGTTGGGTTGATGACCGATCCTCAAAATGATTATTAGAAAATAATGGAACCAACGTTGTATTCTGCTTAACAACAGAACAAGAGATATCAACATCCTGTTCAGATCCCCTGTTTTCGGAAGAAACCGGTTGAATAAAACCTTCAGGAGCATTTTGATCTTTATTCATAAAAACCTGACATCCATTTTTAGAATCCTCTTTCCTCGAGCTTAGCCAAATTCTTCTACCTCTTGATCTTCTGTAGACTCTTGAAAAGAGACCCTGCTCCTCTTCCCACCAATATTTTTAATTGATAAACCAGCTGAAACTGGAAAACCCAGTTTCCAACGATTCTGACTCTTCTTAATTTCTGCACACCCATTGTGAATTAATGAATTTCTTCCCCTCTCACAAGAAAATGAAGTGCTACACGCATTAAGGCCCACTTGATTAGCATCCTTAGCCATTTTCACCTTCTTTAGAACAGCTCTATTTTTAACTGGAACTTCATCCCTTACTGAAACTGTATGTTGCCCTTGTAATTCGGACTGAGTCTGAACCTTTTTTTGATTTCCTGGCCTGTTCCATTTCAACTTTACAGCAGGGCCTGCTGGGATAATTTTAGTAACAGGAGCATAAGACTCCCAATTAGAATCCGAATGGGTTGGAAGACTCTGATCCACAACCTCTCGCAGCCCAAGGCCCGCATAATCCCCACAAGGATTTAATTCAAATTCAAATTTGTCTGACACCCCATTATTATTGGGCAGAGTGTCAGACTACTTTTTCAGATAAAGTTCCCCACCTTCTTTTGACATCCTCATTTCTTGACTATTCTGAAGCCACGTATCAACCTTTGACCGAAAACCTTCTGCTGAGTTCTCTCTATTGTCTTCTTCCTTCTCTGTGTTTCTACGATCATCCCCCTTTGAAACATCACCATTGCAACTGCCATATGAAAAATTCTGCCTTACGTCTCCATAAGCTTCAGAGATAGGTTTAGAGCTGGAATCCACATTAATTTTAACTTTAAAGGATCTGCCATAAGATCCTACAATAACAGATTCTTGTACATCAAAAGGGCTTGCAACCCTCAACAGCATTTTGGCCGAAGAGAAGTCATCTCTATTTCTAGTTTCCTCCAGGATGCTAACAACCTTTCCCCACTTACTGCCAAGCTTTTCCAGAAAAGGTACACTCCAACTAAGAAGCGGTAAACCAACCAGTTCGACCAAGCAATAAGCTAAAGGAACTCCATCTTCACACAACAATGGATCTACCCAATCAAACCAGCAATAGAGTTTCTCACGAAGACTCAACCATGCCTTTAAAAACTCTTCATTTGTATTGAACGTAATAATACTGGCGTTTATGACATAACCCCACCTTACTATCTTAACCTGGAAACCCTCCTTTGCCAAAGCTCTCTTCACCATATCAGGCTGAAATGGATCTTTGATAACCCCTGTTAAGGAGTTTTTCACCCAGCAAAAATCATCTGATGGGATGTGCATATCCCATACATTTCTTATTCCATTTGCATTCTTCTGACCTCCCCTAATCACCAATCGTTCTGGATTCAAACTCCTACTGTTAGCCACATTCACGACCTCCTTATACGATCTGTCATCTCTCAAGCTTCTCGGCTTCTCCAGCTCAGCCTGCTGTCTACCGAAAGCCTCTCTATCTAGCTTAATTCCTTCCAACTGATTTCTTTGAACCTCTGCTTCTCTTCTCCTGCCCCTCATGTACTTTGCAACCCCCACTGAGACTCTCATCCCGTCAATGAGCGTTCCGTTGACATTCTGAACTGCTCTTCTGCAACCTTCCTCCTTCGCAAATTGCACAAAAGCAAACGTGGATGACTTATAATTTGGTTTAACCATAAAATTTGGAATAAAGACCCTCAATATTCTTCCATAATGGTTGAAAATCTCTCTTAGCTCACTTCTATTAACTCTCTTACTAAGATTATCAACAAAAACAGTCCATTCCTCACCGGTGGATGAACGACCGAAAGCACTCGCTATCTTTCTCTCTCTACCTTTCTCACTCATTTTTAAAAACTCCTACTTCGTGTCCAATCCATCTTTAAGCATTATTTGTTTGAATGCCTAAAATTACATCCTTAGTGTCAGTCACTTTAAGTTTGCTGAAGTTGTCTATCATATATGCTTGTATATGTGTTTCCACATCCATACTTGATGATGTTTACGCTTTACGGTAATTCATGAACAATTTGCTTAAAATGTAAATGCACATTGAGTTTGGCTCTCAGTTCTTCTTCATTACTCTTTTTGATCTGGTTTTACTGGAGCTAGTTAAATAGGTTTAATTGATGGAAACACTTCCTTGTTAGTTTTCATTTTAACTGCATTTATGGGCTGAAAGTTAAAGTTTTCATTGTTTCAGGGCCAAAGTGGAAGCCATTTTGAACCAAAGCCGGTTCCACCCCCTCTACCAAACAAGTGTGACTGGGAAATTGACCCTTCTGAACTGGACTTTTCAAATTCAAATATCATAGGGAAGGTATGCTTTCAATTTCTTAATGTTACTATCATGCAGAACAGAGCTTACTTACAGACTGTTTTAAGTGCAAAACCCTATTGAGAAAATTTCTTGCTTCAAATTTAGCATATGATGTATCTTGGTTTTAGGTTTGCCTGGTACGGAGGATGGAAAAGGAGAGGCCTAAAGTATTTTTTTTTAATCCAATTTTTAGATTTCATAACCACCTTCCAATGTGCTTAACCATTGATTTAAACTTTTTTCTTCCACCATTCAGTCGTCCTCCCAGCTTAGCAGAGCCTTAATCACTTGTCAGGATCTGTTGTCTTCTATCATTTTGTCAAGAGTGCACGTGATTGCTAGTCAAACCAGAGAGTGCTTGTTACGGGTGTAGATGTGTGGTGTTTTCCTAAAGAATATAATTAATATTCTCTTATGACTAGCATATTGAGAAGCATCTCTCGTGATCATTTGATGAAATGGAAATTTAATCTGTGTGAATTTGCCAATCATCATGGGCAATTACATCAGAACTGTCCCTAATTAGGACATGCTCCATAGAAGTATGATACTATCTCTCGGTACTTGGAGATAGCCAAATGGGTACTTGGAGATAGCCGAATGGGTACACCCTTTTTCTACTTCTTAGAAAGGTTGATTATTATTAAATTGATACTTCAGAATATGTTTCTTTGGGCTAATCTAAGTTTAAATTAGCTGTTATATGTCTGTAAGGGTTTTAGTAGTCAATGTGATTCGTTGACATGTAACTTCCATCTTTCAGCTTGGAACATGAATTTATATACGAGCTGCTTATACTCCGGTTGTCAGCAATTCATCATTCTAGTAGAATTCGTTCATTTTCCTTGTATTATCTGGTATATGTGCTTTTACTGATTATATTTCATATTGCCAGGGATCATTTGGTGAGATTTTGAAAGCCAGTTGGCGAGGAACTCCTGTAGCTGTCAAACGCATTCTTCCATCACTTTCAGATGACAGATTGGTGATGTAAGAGTCTATGTTTCAGCTATATAATCTATATAGTTTGCATCGAGACCCTTTATGATGAGTGGTTACCTTTTCCTCCTTCCGTTGATTAAGGAGCTACACTACTAGCTCCAACAATCAAGAAGGGGGTTTTTAACGAGGCCTGAAATTCTTATCAAAAAAAATATCGTGTGCTCAAAACTATGTTCTTGTTGACGATGAATAGTGACACGAAGAAATATCAATATTTCACTTGAGTTTATTATGTAGCATTTACTTTGATGAATCATACCTCTACTTGGTGTAATTAGATTCAACTTTGAAATTCACTTCCACATTTTACAGGGTTTTGATTCTTGTCATAGCTATGCTTAATTTCCTCCCTATCCTCTCTGTTTTTTTAATTGTATTAAGAATGCATTTATTTGTGTGCATTCTGTTCTGATTCAGTCATGATTTCCGACATGAAGTGAATTTGCTTGTAAAGCTCCGCCATCCTAATATAGTTCAATTTCTCGGAGCTGTCACTGACAAGAAGCCTCTTATGCTAATTACTGAGTACTTAAGAGGGGTATGTGAATGCACGTCTTTTTTTTCCCTTTCTTTTCCCAATAATTCAGTTCTATCTGTAGAATATTCTATTAGAAATCTTAACTTTAATTATATTCTGTGCTATCACAGGGTGATCTTCATCAGCATCTCAGGGAAAAGGGTGCACTTCATCCAGCAACAGCCATCAACTTTGCAATGGATATTGCTAGGTATATGATAAAGCTTCTATTTTAAGTTGTATTGTCTGTGCAGCTCTTTGTGTCATGATCTTGATATCTATTATAAAACCTGGAGAAAGAGATTGAAAAATGTAGGAGGATACCATAAATCACATTTTTTTCTTAATTACGATAAAATCTATAGTTTTCTTTGGTTTTGAACAACTCCTCCGAGCTACTCTACAGAATATGTATTAGCTACCTGACTAAATTGAATTCTCTCTCATATGTATGCCATTTCCCTAATCGGGATTTTATAAATTTTGTTGCCAGGGGTATGGCTTATCTTCACACTGAGCCAAATGTCATTGTTCATCGAGATCTAAAACCCAGGTGAGTCGGTTTCTATTTCAGTTTTCTTGTGCAAACAATCCTGTTCTTGTTCTACTAGCTATTGGTTCGAGGCTCTATGCATTTACAGTGACTGCGCGCCTATGGTGTAAAAATTACCTCTTGAATTTAGAATGTTTAATGCACGTTTGCTTTTCTCTGAAAATACAAAATAATTTCTCCATTTCTCTAGTTGATTTATTTTCTTTTTTGCTTCCATGATCGAAAACTTTGAATTGCATTGACTTTTTCACGGAAACTTTATTTCTTTTTATCAGGAATGTGCTTTTGGTCAACTCAAGTGCAGACCATTTGAAAGTTGGAGACTTCGGACTGAGCAAGCTCATCAAAGTACAAAATTCTCATGATGTGTACAAAATGACTGGCGAGACCGGGAGTTGTGAGTATCTTATATATTTCCTTTGGGATAAAATATGATCCTTGGATACTTACTTTATTCACTTTGATTCGGAATAGATCGTTATATGGCTCCTGAAGTTTTCAAGCACCGGAAATATGATAAAAAGGTTGATGTTTTCTCTTTCGCAATGATACTTTATCAGGTAATCTTCCCCCTCTCGAAATGAAGTTGATCATGCAGCATTTTTTAGACTAATTCTAATGCACGTTATTCTTACTTGGAGCAGATGCTTGAAGGAGAACCACCATTGTCAAATTATGAACCTTATGAAGCAGCTAAGTACGTCGCTGATGGACACCGACCTATTTTTCGATCAAAATCATACCTTCCTGAACTGAGAGAGTAAGCCGTCCACACAATTCTATGTCTGCATGAAGATTTCCATATGGTTGCTATTTATTTATTAGTAATTAGCATCAGAGTCGTGTTAATACTGCCCCATGTTACTCCAACTATGCATTTTTCTGGACGTAGATACCGGAATAAAACCCTTGAAATACGTACGAAAATGATCATATACATGTCGGACGTATACCTTGGCCTTTTGCCTTTGATTTCAAAGATGTTTAGTAATCTCTTTTCTGGTTGTTTCCTTTGTTGAATCTTTCTTAGATTAACGGAGAAGTGTTGGGCTGCTGACATGAACCAAAGGCCTTCCTTCTTGGATATACTCAAAACCCTGGAAAAGATCAAGTAAACTGCACCTTGAACAGATCATTATCGGAATATATTCAACACACGACATTCAAAAGCACTTCGATGAAACCGACGATGCCCACCCCATTCCTTCCGGTCACCTCCGGCTCTACCGGACGATATTGTGAATACCGATAATAAATTTCTTTTTTCTATGACCGGGTTTCGTGTATTTGGTCCGAATTAAATGGTGAACCAGGTGTGCAAATTGAGATTCTTAAATTTTCAGTTTCTCACTCAAGGTAACATTATAAAAAAAAATGTTGTCTCATCTTACAGAGATTTATGTAAAATCCTTCAATGTAATTCCTTTTGATTACACACGATTGGTTATGAGATGTAATAATGAAGTAGACAAATCCTATGGTGTCTTTTCTGTTTGGGGAACTGCTGGACGAAGGCAAATTCTGATTGCATGAAGTTTGTTATAAATGTAACTAGAGTTAAAGTTTGTCATTCGAATTGACGAATCACATTTTATGATTCAATCTTTATTTTGAATTTTTGTTTAAATTTAATTATAAATATTTATAATATTATTATATTTCATTTTAAATGGATTTTTATAATCATATATTCCGGAATCGTCTTTCGGTTGGGTCCGGAATTGGGTTTCGACTTGAATAATTTGGGTTAGAGTCGTCACCGATCAGTTTAAAACGAATTTAGGTAGGTCGGACACCGTCTTACCTGAACTGCGTTGTACCAGAAACGTGTCGGGCTCGGGAGTCGGTTACGGTCAAAGAAGAATTAGCACCCTTGAACCGCCCTTTCGGTACTAATTAATTTATCGGTTGTCTTAATTGCAAAAAATTAAAATTAAAATTTAAAAATCAGATTCTAATTACTTACCTTTGAGTGGTTGGAATTCTTCTATAAAAATAAAAAAAATGTTAGATAAAAAAATAATAATAGTAATAATAATAAATATCAAATAAATCAAAGAAAATAATAATAAATCAAAAAGGGCAAAAAGTAAATAAAGAAAAAGTTAAAAAAATAATAATAAAATTGAATAAAATTAAAGAAAGAAAAAAAAATAAAGAAACAGAAAATACAATTTAATAAAAAGAATAATGATAAAAAAATAGAAATAAGTTAAATATTGGAAAAATGAAAATAAAAAAAAACGTAAATAAATATTAACAAAAGAATCGAAAAATAAGCAAAAAGGATCAAAATGCAAAATTTTAACAAACAGTGGCCGAATCAGAAAACATGAAAAAAGATTAGTGGCTAAATTGAAACATGCAAACAATACCTGGGCTAATTCAGATAAAACATGAATTAGGGACTATAATGCAAAAATAATAAATTTAAAGTCTAAATTGAAATACTGAAAATTGAATTTAGTGACCAAAATGCAAAGAACAAAAGTTACAGAGACCATATACGGAGTTCACCCGTGCACGAAATTATAGCCAGATCCCTCCCCAAAACTACGTCGTTTTGGGGAGGGTATAAATACCCCCCATTAGGCCCAAGTTCTCTCATACTTCCTCAATTTTCTATTCTCGTTCTCTCTCTAAAAATAAGAGAGATCAGAGTTCTCTCGCTTCTCTCTAGCCCGACCAAGATCTGGCCTCCCTCCGGTGGCTCCTTCGCCGTAACGCCGCCGCTCCGGCGGTCGAAAAAGTACCCAAGCCTACCAAAACGACCTCCTCAACCCCCTCAACACTAGCCCGAAGCCCGATTCCCCTGCAAAGCGTCGAATCGACGTAGATCTAAAAAGTCGCGTTCGGCTTTTTACCTTCGCCGGCGGTCCCTTCAGCTTCTCGTTGCCTTCTTCCTTCGCCGAGGTTTCTCCGTCGACCCTTAACGAGGCAAAAAGCGTTGCCTTTCACCGTTTTTATATGTCTTTGATGTGGTTGTTCTTGGTTTCGGTTGTTGATGTATTTTGGTTGTCTTGTTTGTAGTGTTGTTTTGTGATAGTTCTGCGGTTTCTTTCTTTCTTTGTGATGGATTTTTTTGGGTCTGTTATGGCTCGATGGTGGTCATCGTTTTTGTGTGGTTCTGTTCCGATGATATTGTTGATGTCTGTTGGTCCTATGTGGGTTTACTGTTTGGTGCAGCCGTGTCCTCCTTGCACGGCCTCACCGGGGAATTTATAACCCCTCGGTGAAGGCCATTTCCGATGATAATGGGGTCGTTCATCTCAACATTCACGTGGCCGGGATTCTCGGGATGATACAATCCCAATTTTCCCGACCGATCGACTTGCCCTTTGACTGCCTGTTTCCTTGACTTGCGCGGCGTTGATGTTTAACTGAAATGTGTGTAAAACCCTAAGGCACTTGGGCTGGTTCAGGCCTATTAGCCTATGCTGGACCCGAACGCACTTTGGACCTGGAGAGAAAGAAAATAAATAAATAAAATAAAAAACGAATAATAAAAATGAAAATAAAAACAAATAATAAAAACAAATATATATTATATATATTCTAAAAATGTTTCCAAAATTTCAAAAACATTTTCAAACTATATATTATACCTATTAAAAAATGTTTTCTAAAAATATTTTAAAAAAATTATATAAATTTTCAAAATGATTTTAAAAACTATATATTATATATATGTTTTTAAAATGTTTTTAAAATTATATATTATATAAGTTTTCAAAAATAATTTTAAAAACTATATATTATATATTTTCTAAAATGTTTAAAACTATATATTATATAGTTTTCAAAAATGTTTTTAAAAACTATATATTATATATATTTTCCAAATGTTTTAAAAACTATATATTATATAGTTTTCAATTTTTTTTTAAAAAACTATATATTATATATATTTTCTAAATGTTTTAAAATTATATATTATATACGTAGTTTCAAAAATCATTTGCAAACTATATAATATATATATAAAATGATATGGATGGAAATTAGTGTCTACAGCTGCCCCTCTTTGTCCTTTTTAATGGAACGAAAAATAGGACAAAAATAAGAAGTCACAAATTTTCGTTCGATGGAGTTGAAGAATAACTCCATGTCGAATTGGGTTGCGGATGGCTCCTCCGTCGCGAAGTCGAGTCCATCTTGAAATGATATAAAATTGAAACTGTACTTCGAGATTTGAATCAGAATGCGGCTTCTCGTTGCCCAATTATAGTCAACCTCGGTCTTCTTCTCGGTTTAAAGACCTTAGTTAAAAAATTGACTGTAAAGTAGTTCATTGACTCCACCGTTTGGTTGATAGGCCTTCGAGCTGAATGAAATCGAACTAGAAATGTCCTCGTCGACATATGGCTTTTCTCGACTTAAATTATACTGTCGGAAGGCGGTTTTTTGTCATTAAGGCACGGTTAACCCATGTCTTCTTCTCGACTTGAAAACCTCGATTGTAGTCGGGCAGTAGTGTGATTGAGGTGTCATCGAGCTGAATGGAATTGAACTCGACAATTTTATTGACAAATAGCCCTTCTTGCTTCAAGTTATGCTGTAGATTTGGTTTGCCTCTGAGATGAGTGTAATCTAACTCGAAGGTCTTCGGTTGGCAGATAACCCTTCTCGACTTAAGCTATGCTGCAAATGATGTGCCTTGGAGCTGAGCGCAGTCGAACTCGAAGGTATTTGGTGACAGATAACCCTTCTAGCCTTGAGTTATGCTGTAAATGATGTATTCTCAAAGCTGAGTGTAATCGAACTCGAGGGTCTTTGGTAGATTGCCCTTTTCGACTTGAGTTTATGCTGCAAATGATGTGCATTGGAGCTGAGCGTAGTCGAACTCGAAAGTCTTTGGATGGCAGATAACCCTTCTCGATTTAAGCTATGCTACAAAATGATGTGCCCTTGAGCTGAGCATAGTCGAACTTGAAGGTCTTTTGTTGGCAGATAACCCTTATCGACTTAAGTTATGCTACAAATGATGTGCCCTCAAAGCTGAGTGTAATCGAACTCGAGGGTCTTTGGCAGATAGCCTTTCTCGACTTAAGTTATGCTGCAAATGATGTGCCTTGGAGCTGAGCGTAGTCGAACTCGAAGGTCTTTTGGTCACAGATAACCCTTCCAGCCTTGAGTTATGCTGTAAATGTTGTCTTTAAAAAAATGGCTTCCCTTCACAGGTCTAAGCCGGTCATAGTTCTTCAGGTGGTTCCTCTGAGCGGGTCTGAACCAAGTAATATGATTTTTTTGGATGACTCCTCTTCACGGGAAAGTCCACTAATAAATTCTGTTAGCCGTATATATTTCGTCGTGGAATTGAAATCTGGCTTGAAAGTGTTAACTGGAAACCTACTACTCGTTGTTGAGTTTAGTCGAAATGAATTCGTTCTAAATAAGTTCTCGAACTCATCTGAAGCTGATTGTCAATCTTGTAATATGTCGAGTTGGTTGAGGTGTAGATTATCACTGTTGAGTTAAGCAACCACCATCAATCTTTAAAGGTGCTTTTGAATCGAGTATCATTCGTCTTGAAGTCGAAACTTGACTCTAAAAGCTGTAAAAATCATGTATGCTAAAATGATGAATGTGATGCACATAAGTATGTCTAAGATGCATGCAACATGAATGAATTATGTGTTATTTCTTGGATGAAGTCTCGTGCTTTGTCTTCCAATCTAGTCCTCAGAATCGATCGTGCCCCATTCTCTTTTCGAGCTTTGGCTTTACAAACCTTTCAAATCTGAGACTGTTCTGTTTGAAAATGTTTTTCTCATTTTTCTTGTTTTATATGAGGGAAAAGGATAAAAATGTTGTAAAATATTGCTCCTTAATTCAGACTCGCAATTGAATCAAAACATGAGTTCAAAGTATATCAAAGGAATCAATAGCTCTTTTAATGCTTTCAGAGTTATAACTCTTTGACAAATGTTCGAATGGATGAGTTATCTTTAGGTTAACCTAAGGTTTCAGCCACAAAAAGGTCATTTTTTCGGTTATTGCAACAGGCTTTTCTTTGGCTTGGTATTTTAATTGGATGCGGACAAAATGACGCAACTAGCCTGATCAATTACAAGACCTTCTATTTTGGTCATCTGAAATCTTCCATTTGTTCAAGTTTTGTAAGCTCTTCTAACAAAGGTAGTGCAGAAATATCGGTCTAAAAATGAAATTCTTGAGTGCTCGTATGTATTTGACTATAACAGGTGTTCCTTAACTCCATTAGTCCATTTTACCGAAACTTTCTTGCTTAGAAAAATTTGATTTAATT